ACAAATTGAAACAGCTAACGCCTCTTCCATCTCCAAGTCCCAGGAACTCATGGCTGATATAAAAAAAGCCTTTGGCCCATCTTTACATTTCTGAAGTCTTAGACTAGCAAATTTGGCATCAATTTGAGAACCTAGTAGTCATTTTTCCGCCTCTTCTACCAGGCCACACTGTTCAATTATTTTTCGAATTACAAATTGAAACGGTACTTTATTTTTCACAACTCCATTCATGTGCTCTGGGCCAATGTAAATTATCAAACTTTCTATATTATCTTAATTGTTTTTATCTTGGGACTGACCAGGGTTTTAGCTGAATATGGGTGAGAAGTGGCCACTCTAGTTAACTTTGGGATAAATTATATCAATAGGAGACAGAAATGAACTACATTGGTTAAAGGTATAGGAGGAGGGTTGAGATCTCACAAAACTTGTTTAGCAATGCCGCATTTGTTGCATTGGAAAGAAAATATATTTTGTGATGATAAATCTTTGAACGGTAATAAGCTGAGAACAAATAGACAGCTTAAAGAAAATTATAAATTGGAAACTTATTTATTGTTAAGTATTGACAGAAAAGTAATAGGACATTTTGCCAAAATTCGCATATGTAATAGTGTTCTTAGAATTGAACAAGGTCGTCACACTAAAACTCCTGTAGAAGAAAGAAATTTGTCCTTTGTGTCTTTTAGAAGTAGAAGATGCATTTCATTTCACTATAAAATGTACAAAACTAAATACAATTAGAGAACAAATGTTTTCCAAAATTAGTGAAATAGTTCCCTCTTTTTTAAATATGACTAATGAAGCAATATTTAAATTTTTGTATACGTGTGGTGAGATTGATATAATTAGAATTATTGTAAAATTCATAAGCGACATGTACAATTCTATAAATGCTTTATTGAGTACTAAATAACTTTGTGGTACCACATCCTCTCAGAGATTATATACATTTATTATTGTAACAATATTCAAGCTTCTTTTAATAATGGAGGGGATATATATATATATATATATATATATATATATATATACAATGTTTATAAATGTGGTCAGATATATATGTTTGTATGTTTGTGCATAACCAATGTTTATTGTCTTGGTATCAATCCTTTAATTTTGGATTTTAAACCAATAAAATATCTTATCTTATCTTATCCTGTCCCAATTAAGTCTGGAACCTCTGCCATAGTCTTGTATTTTTTTTTTAATTTTAATTTTGGTTCATTTGTGTGTTTCGTAGTTTATTGTGACGTTCATTTTAAGAACTAGTACACATTTTTTTTTCAGGAAACGACCATTTTTAAACTTCTACCCCTCCCCCCTTTTTGAGGTTAGATGATTGCTCCCCGAGGAGCCAGCCTCAGCCCGCTTCCTGGCGCAGGATTTTTTTCGCTGTGTTGAAGACTAATTTTTTGCCTTGGGCTGTTTTCTATTCTTTGGTCGGATTGTTGTTTCTTTGACACATTCCCCATCGCAATTCTCAATTTTATCAAGGATACTCAAAGATCTCCAAAGAAAGTTACATATATGCTGTTTATGTAACTCCTTTGAAGAAGCACCGTAAAGAAAGAAATGGACAGCACATTTTATGTGATTAGTGTGAATCTTAAAAATTCTTGTAAATAACAGTTAACATCAGTTCACAGAGACAAATTATGTCAAGAACAGTGAACACTTTAAGTGTCAAGTAACAGATAACAGGAATCCCATTTTCAGAAAAAAAAAAGTTAACAACATTGCAAATTTTAACAGTACAGATAACAGACAGTGCGTTGAAAACAGTTAACCGTTTAATTTTATCTCAAATAACAGTTAACAACACCTTGAAAAGGGCCAAAACAGGTTAACATAAAAAGGTATTGCCCCCTCAATGGTAACAGGAGGGACAAAAATGGTAACAGGATATACATACTTTGCAAGAAAACTCCAAATGCCTCTTACATTATCGCAAATAAATTGTTACAGTTTACAATTTAAGATATTTATTTCCGTACGGTATATTATTTCATAAAATGTATTTCTAGAACAAATCATGTGTTACTTTGACTGGTAACAGGATGGACAAAATTATTAATTGTGCAACTATTATTTTGAATTCAGTTGCCGATATTACTGTACAGCTATTATCCAAGCGTATCATATAAAATACGCATTGTTTCTTTTCAATACTCTTTGAATGATTTACCCGGTTGCGATTTGTACTTAAATCGTTAATGTTTTCTTTGGTACCTAGCTGAACCTAATTTGATTCATTTGGTTCCTTGATCTATTATTTGTTCTGCTTTGGTAGTAAAACTATTCTACTACATTGCGCCCTTCTGAAATCATCATATTTTGCCAACTTTTGTACTGCTTTCTTGGAGACATGATACTTTCTCGTCAAGTTACAGGCAAATAGAGATACAGACAGTGCGAGACGACAGCACGATTATGACACGAAAGAATGTCTTTTGTTCAAAAAAAGGGGGGGGTGCACAACATATAAATGTGGGTATATACGTCCGATTGCGGTTCGAACTCCACTGCCCCCATTCATAAATTAATAATGCGAAAATGCCTTCTCATTCACATGTATATTTCACAGCTATCACGATCTTACTTCAATGAGATGATATTAGGAGATAAAAAGATTAGAACACAGATTTGAGTTTACAGTAGGTGAACATGTACGTATGACCCATTAATTGATATAAGAATTTCGATATATTGCCTCCTTAAAGTTGCTGGTCATTGTTATATTTGCCATTCCAAATATACACAAATAAAAATACCCATACCAGCTGCAAATCTGTGTATAGTATTCTTTTATAATGACAGCCCCCACCCCCGCTTTTTAGGACGCCCCCGTGCTTTTATTTGCCAAAATCAGTGAAAGACAAAAGCTGCTACAACTTCCAGAATATTGGCTATCATTCCTAATCCAAACAAAATCAAAGGCTCTTCGTGAACTTATGAAATGGATCCAAAAATCCAAGAATGACAATTAAGTCTTCAGTGTTAAAATGTGTCAGAAACTAGATACATGTATATCAGAATCATTGACAATAAAAAAATGTTTTATTTGAATTTTCGTTCAGTTGTAGTGTTGTGTTATTTAACATGTCTTCATATTTTTAAACATATAAAATTAGTTTTGCTTTTTACGCCTACATCTTTAACCTTCTCTAAGACAATACTATAGGTGGTTGTTCGGGTGATTGGTAAGTCTCCAGTGGACACTTAAAGGCATATTCAGGAAGAGAATATGATAATCAAATAACAATCAACATGCTGAACTAGATCTTAAAAGCGGTAGTTCACAGAAAGGCATGTCATCTTATTTACACTGATTTTACCGACTTGCGGCAACCACATCTTACTTCAGTTCACACTTATAGCGAAAAAACAGCAAATACCAATTTTCCATTGTTTTTGTTTTGATTTGTTTTGTTTGTTTGAACCGGACAGAGATGATACACGTATAAATGATTCTTTTATAATGTTACAATACTTATATTTCTGGTTTGTATCCCTAGGAAATTTAAAAACGGGTTTTTTATTATTGATTTTTGTGACCTATAAATTATGTTTTGTCTCTACTGTTACCACCTTGTCCTCCCTGTTACTGCCTTTGTTCGTTCCTGTTACCCACAAAAAATGTGTAAAATAATGTAGACAATCAACATAACTGAGCTATTAACTAAGTTTCCAGTCAGTATCATTGAAACCCTAGGGACATAATAGTAAATTTTCGCTACTACTGTCTCCACAATTTTTTTTAAGAGCGTTTGAAAAATAAAAAATGCGATGATTTTCCTGAACGGACAGACTATCTTCAGATTTTTTTTGTGTAATCTACATAAATGATAAATGTAAATGTGATTTCAAATGAACACTGCCATACAAAAATTTTAAAGTGAGCCACAATTTCCATTGGATATTTTCTTTTCTCTTATAACTTTATTTTGAAATGACTGACGTATGTGCTTATAATGTATAACAACGTCTAAAAAAAATAAAAAAGGTAAAATCTGGGACTATTATACTTATTATACTATAATAGTCCAAGGTAAAATTGAGGTAAATAAAATATGGGAAGGGTGAAATATGGACACAGGAGAGCCTCGGACAGAAAAAATCGGTCTACTGTCATCTTAACAAAAATGTGTACTAGTTCAGTGAAAATTGATGACACTGACACTTAAAACTCCTAAACATATAAATGAACTAAAATTAAAATAAACATACAAGCCGAATGATTAACAAAGGGAACTTGGAACAGGCACATCATTGCAGTGGTCACCCCACAGCATTTTCAATTATATTGGCTATAAAGATGTTTTAAATTAAAATACATATATATTTCCACATAATAATGATCAATAATGATCACATTTTCAAATTGTATGAACTCGATGCTCCAGTTTACTAGCTGCGGAACCGTAGCTCTTAGGTCCTTATGTTATTTTTTGACTATTTGCGGACCAATCCGCAAATAGTAAAAAAATAACATAAGGGCCTAAAGCTACGGTTCCGCAGCTACCAGTTTACATGCCATGTTTTAACAGAGACCAAAACCCCATGCTTATTTGAAAACTTCAATTAAGATAATGAACTGAATTATTAAGCTAGGTATATATTTTGAAGGTATTGAGATTGGACATGCACTTTCATATCTGTGGACACGATTTCATAAGTAATTATCGTCCGGACGATATTTCATAATAACATTATTCCGTGGACACAATTTACTGTGAAAAAGTGTCCGGTGGACATAATTTCATGACGGACAATATTGAATCCTACAATAATTAAATTGGTCGTAACAAAATGGGAACGTTTTTAAACCCTTGAAATTGAATTTTACATTTTTATCTAATATCTGTCTAAATGTTAGCATGTTGCTTTTTCCGAATTCAAAGAAAATCCATCTCGAATTAAAAAAGTTTTTCTAACGGTCGGGACATAATTAGTCAGTAGGGGGATTTAGGGTAACCCAAATTATTTCCCCGCCAAATTGAAACGTAAACAAGAAATTATATCACGGACCCCGATCGTTATTTCCCGATTTTAAACAGCACATGTAAGTATTTTCTTTCTCTTATGTAGTCAGGCTGTATCATTTCTTATGTGGAAGTCTTTCACGGCTTCAGCTTGTTTGGCTAAACCGTAATCTCGGACTAGTTTCGGCCATGTAATGACTAATGTCTAATGATGAAGCCATTCGGCATTGGTTGTTTCGGCCATACATTTATATTTCCTGCAATTAAGAGCACCTCCATACGGTGTATCTAAGATATAAATTTAAAACATGACAATACAGAATTTTTCACAGATCGCTAATTCACTTATCTGATATACATGATATATATATGATAATACACTTATTTATTTATTATTTACAAGTTTGATCGTTTATATAAATATACATTGTTAATTTCCATTGTTTAATATAATAATAGTTTTGCAGCTGATTTAATAGTTTTAGGTAAATAAATTGAAGGAAAAACCGGTTTCTTATTAGTGCATTCTGAATAAAATTATGATCTATCATAATTAACTTTCATTCGTATACACCTCTATGTCTTGCATTGTTCTGGACATAATATTCAATTTCCTGTTAATAGTATACATGGTATAAGGTACATACATGTGATGGACTGTGAAAATCAGATCAGGAGATTGGGAAATTTTGGTCAGGAGATTAGGACTCAGATCAGGATGTTTTTAATCGACATAAATTTTTCTAAAAAAAAAAGAATGTTAGCTTGAACATGTTGAATAAAGAAAGAGAAAATTTATAAGTACAAGGGTACTATAAACATAATACATTCGGATGGAAAGTTGAAGAAAAAACACTTTAAATGACAATTTCTACAGCACACAGCTACATTTTCGACAAAATTTATGTCGGGAGGTTGACATGTCATGCATGTATGCTTTCAGAATGCCAAGAAAAAGAAGAAAGCCGACAGTTTGCCAAAGAAGGAAATACTATTACATGAACCAACAAAAGCTAGATATGATCAATAAAAACCAACTTACTTGCTCAAAACCAGCAGTTAATATAGGGAATGAGAGATTATCTGAGAGTGAAGGTAAAGTTGACAATGATATACGTGTAGATAATCTTACGTGTCAAGAATTTATACAAATTTTATGAATTATGAATAGTCTAAATCAGCATGTTCACTATGAGGTTAATAATGACGAACTTTTGGCTGGACTAAATGAATAGAGTTGAAATTGGGTGTCGCGTTTTCTTCTTTCACATAAAATCCACGTACAGTCAGGGGTACTACTTGTACAAGTAATTTTTATTTACTTGAAGAAGTAAATATTTATATACTTATATAAGTAAATTTGTAGGATACTTATACAAGTGTATTTTATTTACTTGTATAGGTAAAAAAAAAATGGGCTTAGTTATGTCCCTTAGACATTCAGATTTTTTTACTTATACAAGTAAAAAAGTCATCCTATCTTCTTTTCTTGAATTCTTAGGACTTCTTTGCTCTAATAGAATTTTTGATTGTCTGTCCTTTGCAGATGTCTTTACTAATCATTTAAGTGTAATTTCATGGACAATGAAAATCTCATTTGTCTGTTATCTTCAGAACACTGCTCATTTACAAGCCTCCAAGGGGCAATTTTTGAAGGCCTTGCGCAAATACTTAAGATCTTTGCGCAATCAGTTTCTTTGTTGAATTAATGAGATGAAACATTGAACTCTAATAAAAAATTATGAGCTAACCTGAGAAAAATTGTTAAAGGCATGTTTTTACATCTCAAAACTTGAGAATTTTTGTGGGATTGTAAAATAAATTTACTTATACAAGTAAATTTTTTAGAAAATTAAGGGGAGATTATTCAAACATTATAATTTACTTATATAAGTTTATTTTATTTACTTCTTCAAGTAAATAAAGATTACTTATATAAGTAGTACCCCTGACTGACGTATATTGTTTTATATCACAAAGGGGTAATGACTAGCGTAGTTTATTATGTGTTCATTTCAAGATCTTTTGGGGGTATTTGGGGGTTAAAATCGGAAAAAAGCTAGTTCAGATCGACTGTTCTTCACGACATTCGGGTCTGAAATTTACGTGCCATCTGTTCTGTTCTGTACAGGTATTTTCCTCCGTTATATATTGGAGCACTCCCACTTGGGATATATGGGTTTGATGCTTAATCAAATATTTGCACAGATACTATATTACTAAATGAATAGAGTTGAAATTGAGTGTCGCGTTTTCTTCTTTCACATAAAATCCACAAATATTGTTTTATATCACAATGGGGTAATGACCAGCCTAGTTTATTATGTGTTCATTTCAAGATCATTTGGGGGTTAAAATCGGAAAAAAGCCTGTTCAGATCGTCTGTTCTTCACGACGTTCTGGTCTGAAATTTAAGTGCCATCTGTCCTGTTCTGTACAGGTATTTTCCTGTTTTATATCGGAGCACTCCCACTTGGGATATATGGGTTTAATGCTTAATCAAATATTTACAGATATTTACAGTGTTGTGGGGTGCTTAAGTTTTAAAAACTTTATCATGTGTGTTTATATACAGGTAAGACTGAATTTTAAAAACAAGTGTTTAAAATTATGTGGTATCATTTCCGTCATTGCATGTCTGCCCGGCAAAATTAAATTTTATTTCGTAGCAGATACGGTAAATATTGACCTTACACTGAAACACTTTGTGATACACATTCCCTTGACGCTCTCACGTCAAGAGCTTTTCCTTCCCGGAACCACATCAATTCAACATGAAAAGGGTGGATGGATTACTTCAGTCTTACATGTACTATACAAAACCTTGGTGCCGTCATCAATTCCGCTTTGTCTGCAAGTATTATGGTCTGCTCAGCAAAAAGTATACCCTAAAGGATGGGGGGATTACTTAGGTTTTCGGTTGAAAATGGGTACAGAAGTGTGGCTGGAATGTGACCCCCCATTCATATATTAATGCATAAAATTTTCAGCCCACTCATATATAGGGGTTGTTCTCAGCAAGAAAACACCTGAAATCAGATGCGGATTGACCCTACACTGAAACACTTTGTGATACACTTTCCCTTGACGCTCTCAGCAATTTTACAACAGATTTTTACACGTCAAGAGCTTATTCTTCCGGGGAACTGCAGCAATTCAACATGAAAAGGGTGAAGTGATTACTTTAATTTCAGTTAAAAATGGGTACAGAAGTGCGGCTGAAAAGTAAACCCCCCTCCCCATTCATGTCATACCGTATAGCGGGTTATTTTCGCGGGGTGTAAATTTTTGCTTATTTTCGCGGATAAAATAAAATCGCCAAAATAAATTCCGCCAATTTAAAAGTGCACATGCAAAGGTATTGACAAAAGTTCTGGATCCGCCAATATAATAACTGCAAAAATATTTCGTATACCTTATTCAATGAAAATCGCAAAAATAACCCACTATACAGTATTGAGTGGTGGTATTTCGTCTGTGACACGCTTCAAAAAGATTTAAGATCTTAATATCTCCTTACACCAAAACTATATAATTATCTTCAAATTATAAACAAAAGTATATTTCGCGGGTATTTTCTAGTACATGTATATATTTGTCTCTCTTTTTTTGCATAGTTTCTGTCTTGGCTGCCAAGAAAATAAAAAGAATAGATGACATAGGGATTACAATTTAGCAGGGGCAGTGTGAACTATTTGTATAAAGCTTTATATTTCAGAAGGTGGAAGACCTAGATGCTTCATACATTGTACCTTGGACAGTCAAGGGTCTAACTTAAATAAGTTATTAGAGAAAAATAACATACATTTGTTATTGAGGGCTAAAAAATCAAAAATCTGTAATAACATATGTATGTTACATGTTTCAAAGGGGCATTATACATCCTTAATTTTGTTAAATTGTGTACTAGTTCTATTGATATTATAATTGTCTTTATGTATATTAAACTTTAGAAAGATATAACAGCCCATAGTTTGCCAATCATGCATAACACACCCATGTTATCACAGAAAAAATATGCCTATAATAACTAAAGGGTGTTATTACAGCTTCTCTACATCTCTTCAAAGCCTTTTCTCCTACATATATCACAATGTATTTTAATTTATTGTAATAAATAATGATAAGAGCATGTAATGAGGTCCTGCGCAAGCTTCCTAGTCATTCCCAAGTGTCTCATGTAATAAGTTAAATGCCTGTAATATCTAAGCCTTGTTATTACAGCTAAGTTATCACTTAAAAGCCTTGTCTCATTGATTTACCATGGTTGATCAAAAATGTATTAATTGAATTGGAAAATTAGTTTTCAAGGTTATGTTTTAAGGTACTGCGCAAGTTTCAAGAATTCCCAAGTGCCCACTGAAAATAAAAAAAATTATGGTACATTTAACTGATAACAAACATATGTTACTACAGATTAAGAGAAAGTATCCGTAATAACACATGTATGTTATTTTTCTGTAATAACTTATTCAAGTTACACCCTTGACTGGTGTATTCAGTTACCTGTAACTTATGTCATGAAGTTTCCATCTGTCATATGTCCATTTTCCTTCCTCATTTTCATAGTTCAGTGACTTGCTTGAAAAAAGATATGTTTTTTTATATGCCTGTCAAAATTTTGACGGGACGTATTATGGTATACAAATGTCGTCTGTCCGTCTGTCTGTCCGGCTTAAACATGTTGCATCGTTACTTGAGAACGACTTATCCAAATTTCATGAAACTTAACATAGTTGTTTCTTATAATGGTCAAATGATCTGTATACTTTTTGGTGAAAATAAGATTAAAACTTTTTGAGGTACGGGACTTAGTAACTAAAACAGGTGTGTGTTTTTTTTTCACGTCGTGCCATATCTCAAAAACAATTTATGATTATTGCTTAAAACTTTACACACTTCTTAGTTATATTAATCTTAAGATTTTTATACTTTTTGGTGATGATTCAAATTTTAATTTTTGAGTTATTAAGTATTTTGTAAAAAAAGGGGGAGAGGTTTTTCACATGTCGCGCCGTATCTCAAAAAAGATTTATGATTATTGCTTAAAATTTTACACACTTCATAGTTATATTAATCTAAAGATCTGTATACTTTTTGGTTTTGATTCAAAATTTTATTTTAGAGAAATTGATTTTTTTTTTTTTTAAAGGGGGTTTTTCACATGCTGCGCTGTATCTCAAAAATGATTTATGATTATTGCTTAAAACTTTACACACTTCTTAGTTATATTAATCTAAAGATCTGTATACTTTTTGGTTTTGGTTCAAAATTTAATTTTAGAGATATTGAGTTTTTTGTAAAAAAAAGGGGGGGGGGGGGGGTTTCGCATGTCGCTCCGTATGTCAGAATCTATTTATGATTATTGCATAAAAATTCACACACAAGACAACAGGCGTATCATGTGCTCATGGCGCAGCTGTTTATTTTTTTTTGTAATGTGAATTTCTCACAAGTTTATGAGTAATAAGATAACTATTTTTGGCACCTAGTAAAGTCTCTATGCTCATCAAACACAGTTCACTCGACCTCATTTCATGGATCAGTGATCAAGGTTAAAGTTACATGATCATGTCTGTTTCTCAGATACTATAAGCAGTAGGTCAACTATGTGTAGTGTATAAAATGATTTTAAAGTGTACATGTTACATTTTTGTAGTCTGGCAGGATTTATGTGACTTTGCCCTAATTGTCATGGACCTTTAAAAATTTTAAGTTTGTGTGATACTTGTAATGAAACCTTTATCTGTTATACTTTCAACATAAAATCAATGGTCAGTAAAGCAAGAAGAGACATTTTAGCATTTGCAATCTTGTTTGTAATAAAATGATGTCAAAATTTACTAAAACTTTATGTAGAACATGCATGCTTCTATTGAAGTTATTATTAAAGCCCAATCTGCCACAATATTAAAAATTAAAATAAGTACTTTTAACTTTTTCAACAAAAACTGAGGGCCTAACAAAAAATTAGTAGCTGTATAACTGATCTCAGCTTATCTGCATTCCCTGTCTTATTCATCATTTTCATTAGTCACATTAAATGGGGATGGTAAATCACATAGGAGATAACTCAGTTTGACTTCCACTTTATGTCTGGAACGTGTGAAATGAATGTGATTATTTGACCTTTTCAGATGAGATGCCTTTAAATTATCCCACACGTCTGATGTGTAGAGGTAAAGTCAACGATTGTGGACTTTGTAATGAGGACGGACAATACACATGGAAGAATGGTCGAATTATACTCCAGCTTGTTAATGGATCCTGGACAATCAGTGTAGAATATGAAGCTATTCAGAAATATGTAGCAGTAGGTAGATTTTGTGGCTTATAGATATAAGAAGATGTGTTATGAGTGCCAATGTGAGAACCTTCTATCCAAGTAACAATTTGTAAAAGTAAACCATTACAGGTAAAAGTACGGTCTTCAACACAGCCTTGGCTCCAACCGAACAGCAAGCAATAAAGGGCCCCAAAAATTACTAGTGTAAAACAATTCAAACAGGAAAAACAACGATCTAATTTATATAAAAAAATGAGAAACACTTAATTATGAACCACATCAACAAATGACTACCACTGAACATCCAGTTAGATAGTTATTCAAGAATTTTTTTGTATATTCCCCATTATATTACTTTTTAACAGTATTGGAATTATCTCAGCATTAGGTATTTTTGTACATGTATATTTTAATATAGGAAATGGATATTTTCCTTAATGAAGAATGAACACCAATTTTAGATATTGACATGATTGACTTTTGTTGTTGTTGAGAAAGGGCATTTTGAATGCCTCTTTCTGGAAATTATTATTAAGCCAATTATTCTTCATGGAATTTTAAAAAATGCTACACGTTTGAAGATTTCCTTTTACCATTGAATATCAAATGTTTCTTAAAAACAGATGTAAAAAAAAATTGACAGTGTCTATGATTGAAAACCAAAATAATTTGCATCAATATTGCAAAATCCTCCATTTTGGGCAATAAAATCCAAATTTAACAGTGAGATTATGGAAATGAAAATAATAAAAGAAATATTGAAATTATGGTCAGAAAATATGCCATACAAGCTACAAAATAAGCCTGATCTCAACATTCATGATGCTTTGATGTAGCTTTCTATAACTGTAAATTCAGAAATTATTGCATGCATTTATTATTGCTATTTTGTTATTTTAGACTAAAATGCAAATTCAATTTTTGCAATATTGAGAAAAATCCTGTTTAAAACATATAAAATATTTTGAAAGGCGAGTTTAGATTATTGCGATTATAACCCTGTCGCATTTTTCCCCGTTACAAAAATATTGAAATAATTTCTGAATTTACACTATTACACTGATTTGTTTAGACTACATGTAGATATAAATACTCAGATTTTGTTTTAACTACAACAAAAACTTTATATAATTACACTGTTTTTGTTTTAGCTATCTTCAAACATTATCTGTGGTCTCTCCTGTACGTCTGAACTCATGATACAGTTATGTCCAAGTGGAGGCTCTACAGAACATTGTATGATGTTTTACTTCAAACCACATGCCAGTAACGAGGAAAAGGACATGATGAAGAGGTTGTATAAGAAACTGTTACAGATTCAAAAGGGAAAGAGTGGTAGGTTCATAAGAGAAATAACAATTTACATGAAAATAAGGAGATGTGGTATATGATTGCCAATGAAACAACTCTCCACTACGGTCAAACAAATTTCTGTGATTTATTTAAGATATATATTACATTGGAAGTTAAGATCCATATCAATTTGCCAGTTTGAAAAACATCGATGTCGTCGTCCTTTAACTTTTACAAAAATCTTCTCTGAAACTACTGTGCCAAATTTAACCAAACTTGGCCACAATCATCATTGGGGTATCAGGTTTAAAAAATGTGTCTGACGATCCTGACTGCCAACCAACATGGCCGTCATGGCTATTTAGAAAATACGGGGTAAATGCAGTTTTTGGCTTATATCTCTGAAACCAAAGCATTTAGAGAAAATTTGACAGGGATAAAATTGTTCTTCAGGTTTAGATCTATCTGCACTGAAATTTTCAGGCAATTCATACAGCTTGTTGTTGGGTTTCTGCCCCTGAATTAGTAATTTTAAGGAAATTTTGAAGTTTTTGGTTACTATCTTGAATATTATTATAGATAGAGATAAACTGTAAACAGCAATAATGTCTGACAGCAAAGTAAGATCTACAAATAAGTCATCATGACCAAAAATGGTCAATTGACCCTGGGAGTTATTGCCCTTTATATTCAATTTTTTGCAAGTTTTTGTCATCTTTTACCAAAATCTTCTCCTCTGAAACTATATGGACAAATTTAACCAAACTTGGCCACAATCATCGTTAGGGTATTTAGTTTCAAAAAATGTGTCTGATGACCCTACCTGCCAACCAACATGGCAGACATGACTAAAAGATAGAACACAGGGGTAAAATGCAATTTTTGGCTTATATCTCTGAAAATAAAGCATTTAGAGCAAATCTGACAATGGGCAAAATGTTCATCAGGTTAAGATCTATCTGCCATGAAATTTTCAGACGAAGCAGACAACCTGTTGTTGGGTTGCTGTCCCTGAACTGGTAATTTTAAGGAAAATTTTGCAGTTTTTGGTTAGTTTAAACATATTTTATTGTTCAAAATGACAAATAGATCAGACCACAAGTTTTACAACTTAGTAACGTCTTCTCTTAAAGTTTTTGGTTATTATCTTGAATATTATTATAGATAGAGATAAACTGTAAACAGCAATAATGTTCAGCAAAGTAAGATCTACAAATAAGTCACATGACCAAAATGGTCAATTGACCCCTTAAGGAGTTATTGCCCTTTATAGTAAATTTTTAACTTTTTTTGTAAATTTATGTAATCTTTTACAAAAATCTCCTCCACTTAATCTACTGGGTCAAATAGAATTAAAGTTAGCAACAATTTCCAGTAGGGTATCTTGATTTAAAAAAATGTATCTGATGACCCTGCAATCCAACCAACATGGCCGCCATGGCTAAAAATAGAACATAGGGGTTTACTATAGAAGTCTATGGGAAAATTGTTAAAAAACAATTTCAAATGGTCACAACTTGACTGCTAATTTAGATAATGATAAGGGGTCTTCAGTAACTATTGTAGGACTACACTGGGATGACCTACTTTTAATTTTAACTACTGGGCCAAATTAAACCAAATTTGGTCTCAATCATTATTGGGGTATCTCATACTATTTATTATGATTTTAATCTTATTTTACATGATTTCCAAAACCACAGTAGTTACAGGTGAGTGACACAGGCTCTTGAGAGCCTCTAGTTTATTGTATGCATTTATGGCTTTATCTTGTACATGTATATAAAAATAAGATGTGGTATGATTCCCAATGATACAACTTCTACCAAAGACTAAATAATGTAGAAGTAGCAAATATAGGTCACTATATAGCCTTCAACAATGAGAATATTTCATGCTGTATAGTTAGCTATATAAAACCCTGACATGAAATATGCAAAACAATTCAAACAAGAAAACCAATGGCCTGATTTATGTACAAACAATAAACAAAAAATAAATATGATATACAGCAACAAACAACAACCACTAAATTAGAGGCTCCTGACTTTGGACAAGCACATACAGAATGCAGTGCGGTTAAACCTATCTGCGAGTTCTCAACCCTCCCTTTACTTTGGACAGTCAAGGTTACAGCACAACAAAAGAACAATGAAAAGTTGAGAAAGAGATTGACTCATCAGATTGACATGAGTACACAAAGAAATACATTGACACAAAGTGCTGATCTGAGAGTACTCTCAATTACAAGTTACATCAAAGTCAATAATAACTAATAACAAAATCGTTTATCCAATACTCAAATAACAGTAAGGTCACATCCAAAAGATTTAGTATAAAAATGTCATATACAGTCAGAGAAAAACCTAGTCTTGTGCAATGACAAAAAGAAAAGATAGACAGACATATTCATTGCTGTTTTGCATTTATATTTTATATTATTTATACATAAGATAAATGTTTATATGTAAGGGAGGGACTTGATCAAATCTAATTATACCCCACGCAACGAGTTGCGGAGGGTATAATGTTTTTGACCCGTCCGTCCGTCTGTACGTCCGTCTGTCAGTCCGTCAGTCCTGTTTCTTGTCATCGCAACTCCTCTCAAACCACACAACAGAATTTCACGAAACCTTTTCAGATAATAAGGACATACTATGTAGTTGTGCATATCGACAGGAAATTAGGATTCAATTCTTTTCTAGGAGTTACGCCCCTTTGAATTTATTTACTTTAATGTACTACTGCAACAGTTTGTCATCACAACTCCTCTCAAACCACACAACAGAATTTCATGAAACCTTTTCAGATAATACTACGTAGATGTGCATAGCGACAGAAAATTACGATTCAATTTTTTTTCCAGGAGTTACGCCCCTTTGAACTTATTTGCCCAATATACTAATGCAACCTTTTGTCATCACAACTCCTCTCAAACCACACAGCAGAATTTCATGAAACCTTTACAGATAATAAGGGCATACTATGTATATGTGCATATCGACAGGAAATTACGATTCAATTTTTTTTCCAGGAGTTACGCCCCTTTGAACTTATTTGCCCAATATACTACTGCAACCTTTTGTCATCGCAACTCCTCTCAAACCACACAACAGAATTTCATGAAACAGTGTAGATAATAAGGACATACTATGTAGATGTGCATATTGACAGGAAATTATGATTCAATTTTTTTTTCGGATACAATTTTTTTTTCTTACACTTATTTTATTTCTCCAATGACAATGTGGGGACGTGGGATATGTGAGCGCGCTCACTAAGGTTCTTTAATTTTTGAAAACAATTCCAAAGTGATTTCTTACAAACATGAATTGAATTTATTGTATAATCAACTCTTTTTTTTTCTTATTTTTTTTTTAGTACAGCCAGATCAGAATAAAACCGTAACCAACAGACCACCATTAAAACAGATAGATGTACACCATGGTAAACCACAAGACAATCAAAATAAACAACTACCATCAAATACAAGGTAAAATGGGAAAATAACAGGTGTGTTTATGGTCAGGGAACACATTTTAATATTTGTTGTCTGCAAATATAGTCCTTAGTGTGGACAGAGTAGTACTACCACTTCCCAATTTATTTTGTAAAAATTTTAAGATGGGGAGATGAAATTACTGTAACAAAATTTGACTAATGAAATTCAAAGTAAACAAAATATTTGAAAAAGGTTAACAATTAGTATGTTTGAAGATGTCAAACTGAACTCAAGACCCCCTTAACATAAATTTTGCCACATTTTGTGTCAGAGCTGATGAAGGTTTCTATAACTTTGATATAATTTGTCCCAAAAGTAGATCACCACACTAGAGATATTGTTTAAAAGGCACAGGTGCAATTTCTGTCTTGAAAGCCATTTTGCTGTCTCTCATATGTCCATTGTCTTTGAATTCTTTTCAATCTTCAGAGACTGCTTATAAAAAAAGAAAGTTTTTTTTCTCGCTTGAAATACTTATTATGAGTTATAGGATATAATTATATTTGAAATATATCCTCCTTGAAACAACTGCATGCATGTCTGTCTGGTAGTTAAAGGGTTCATTTGACCTACACCTCATTTCAGGGATTGGTGATCAATGTTAAAGTTACATGGTTAAGTCCATATCACAGATACAATAAGCCAACTCCTTAGAAGAGTTATTGCCCTCAATGATGAATTTTTAAACAAGTTTTTTTGGGGGTTTGTATAATGGTATGATGTCATCGTCATTGTCGTCCGAAAACACATTTGTTTTCCAGATAATAACTTTAGTTTTAGTGAATGGATCTCTATGAAATTTAACAAGAAGGTTCAATACCAAAAAGGAAGTTTGGAATTGATTTTGGGGGTTTTGGTACTAACAGTTTAGGAATTGGGGGCCAAAAAGGGACCAAAAAGAAGCATTTTTGTAGTTTCAAGACAATACAATGTAATTTGTGCGTAAGTGTATGGATCTCACTGACATTGTGCTACAATGTTCCATACTACAAAAGGAAGACTGGTATAGAGTTTGGAGGTAATAGCTCAAAAGGGGGGGACATAAAGTTTGGGGGGATTTTTTTTTTCAAAATTTTTCAAATTTCAAATTTTTTTAAAAGTTTCAAGAAGATTGCTTCAATTGTACAGTATTGTGCAATAGATTTTTAAGATCTATGACCACATTTATTTTGTGTTCTAAACCTTTATTATGTCAAAAATTTTATCACAATCCAAATTCAGACAGTATCAAGCTTGAATATTATGTCCAAATTTGCCCCAACTGCAGTCTGTACCAAAAACTTTTCCAAGCACTAGCCCATAGGGCTAGTTGAATAAAAAAATAACTAGCCCGAATTGATGTTTACTAGACCTGAAAAATTTTGTGTCACTGGTGAGGATCACAAAGTGATCCAAACCTCCTAAGGGTTTGGGGGCATGAAATTTTGGAAAATTAGATGTAAAATCCTGCATTCTGAGGTTACATTATTGTATCTGAAAGTGAATATAACTTATCAAAAAATGTTGTTTTTTTTCTCCAGGTCAAATGAAAAATTCTTATTTTCTCCAATAAAAAATAATAATAGTTCTTTTGCCAAAAAAAAAACAAATCCTTTTCCATAAAATTGTACCATTTCAAGTAAAAAGATATTTTAAGCACTAGTAAATTATTACTCAACTTATATTAGGGATTGTTACTTTTTATGGGGAAAATTCCCTCATCGTTTTCTGCATAGGTTTTTACAACTTGAAACTTTTCTGGTTATTCATGTTGACATTTTCAACTTTTCAATGTTTTACCTGGGATAGGCTCCTGTTTCCATTTCAGCATCGAATGAGATCGAATCCTTAATTGTTTGTTTACATTGAGTGGTATTTATAGATTGTGTTTATGTGTTTATTGCAAGCACATGGTCGAGCCTCGTTCACTTTCGTTGGTATTTAGTTATATCGCGTTGACGACTGGTTTCCTTTTATTAGAAGGGTGATCAACCGTATATAATTAAATAGGGATACCAGTAAACAGATGAAAACAATGTCGGCGACAAATTTATTACTTGTTCTTATAGATTCAATAAAATAACGGCTACAATTTCGCAAACGATTTCAGATATTCATTAGACCGGTTGGGCAATCACCAGTGCTTCTGCACAAGTGCGATGAGATTTTTACTAGTCAGGGGCTTCGGGCTACCGCTTACCATCGCAGACTGCAACTGTTCAGGGTTCAACCTCTGTGGTCGTATCAGGCTGCGCACAGCAAAGCATTTTATTGCAATTATCTTGAAAACTTAAATATACATAGGAACTTAAAAAAAGTGAAAATGATCAGGATTTTCTTATATGTCAACATGACTAAAATTTGTCAGTTAGCTTTTTAGCTTTTTATAGAGTTATTGACCTTTAATGATGATTTTTACCTGAATAAGAATGGTTGAAGATGCAGGTGAGTGACACAGGCTCTGAAGAGTCTCTGTTTTAAGATACTAATTATAAAAATTTTTCTTCTTCAGCAAAATGCAAAAACCAAGAAACAGACTATCAACAGTGGCTTGTAGAGGAAAAATTAAGTGTTTTAGAAGTGACCCTAGCAAGTTACCATGGAGAAGTGGGTCACTCTTTATAGAACGTTATGAAGGCAAATGGACCTTGACCTTGGACTATGACATCAGACAAAGTGTCACACAGAAATGTTACGAGGTAAATTTCATACTTTGCTTTATTTGATGGTCTGCTTCAATTGATTGAATCATTGGTCATACAGCACTCTATCAATATGTTGGTATCATATAGTCAGCTATAAAAGGCCCCAAAATGACAAATGTAAAATAATTCAAACGAGAAAACTAACAGCCTGATTTATTTACACAAAAAAATGACAGAATAACAAAAATGTAACACAGCAACAACTGACAAACACTGAATTACAGGCTCCTTACTTGGGACAGGCACAGAACGTGGCAGGATTAGACATGTTAGCGTGATCCGAACCCTCCACCTAACGTGGGATAGTGGTGTAACAGTACAACATAAGAACGAACTATAAAAATCATTTAAAAAAGGCTTAACTCATCAGATGGATACAAATAGAAATACATCTAACAAAAACACAGGGTGGATGTGGCCAGGTTCTTGTACATCCCAACAACAAAAAGACACTAAGAACAGATCTGAGAGAACTTGCAGTTACTGACAGCTAGTTCAAAGCCATCTGATTAAAAAAATTATACATCTAAGACTAAATTATCAATCAGTATGCATCCAACTTACAATGGATTTAGTGTAAGCAGTCAGGCCTAAATTAAAATGTTGTTTGTTTGCCCTTTACCGACCGACCCATTAAATTTGTTCCGACTGAAAATCTTTTATTTGTATTTACCAGCAATATTTTTTTTTAATTTAATTTTTCGTTCCTACTGAAAATCTTATATTTGTATTTCCCACTCAAATTATTTTTTTTCCAGAATCCTCTGGTTTTATCTTTCCCTTATAAGGTTTAGTCCGTTTGATATCGCATGAGCGTTTGACATGATTAATTGCATGTTCAGATTCAAAGCATTGGTTTGAAATCGATGTTGAAAGTTTGGAAATCATAACGAACGTTGCCCTGTGTGTTTTCATTCTTGAAGAGCAGGGTTCATTCAAGAAAATATTGGTTCAAAACAAAATTATCAATGTTTGTACAAAGAAAATTTGTGAAGAGGTTGTAGCCTGTGTAGGGTTGGCTTTTTGGTGATTCGTAGTCGTAGATCCGTAATCATCAGGATGACTAGTCTACGTTAACGATGCCTTCAACATATTATTTATATCTGACGTGAACCAAAGGACCAATAAGTGGAGATTAATTGGCAGTAAAATCGCCAAGTTTTTCCATTAGTATAAGCTCTTCCAACTTGTTGCAAGACGTTGATAGGGGGAATGCACTGGCTTGGCAGTGGCTTTCATTTAAGTCAAATACTGAGATTCTTTTGATTTCACAGATATACATGTCTCAGATAATATAAGTTCAGATTCTAATGGAATTGTTAGTATGTGAATAAATCATGCTACATGTATATAGGTTGCACTTTGTAAATACAGCTGTTTCACGATCCATGACTCTTTTGGGGAGATATATAGTATATATAGATATTTAGGGCCCCGCCGAATGGCGGCCGCCCTATAGTGATCAGTCTGTCCATCTGTCTGTCTGTCCGTCCGTCTGTCTGTCCATCCATCCGTAACAAATTGTGTCCCCTCTATATCTAGAAAACCCGTTATGATTTCAAAGTTTATACTTGACATGTATATTTTTCCAGATCCTATTAATTATTCAATTGTATTTATATGTAAATGCCCAATTGTGTACATGATTTAACTTGAATTTAATTAATAAAATATGTTGACACTAATGTTATTTTTCTTCTCTTCCAGCTCAGTCCAGATACTATAAAAACCGTTTACTGTTTCACCCAACTTAGATTAACCTTAGACTTTGGTAAAAATAGTCTTTTATACTTCCATCTTATTCCAATGAAATCTGTCGAGGAAGAGAAAATGAAGAATGTTTATGAAAAGTTTTTGGAAATTCAGAAGAGGAACCCTGTCCCAACAGGTACGGTCACTTTCAGTGTTTCCTTAAAAAATAGGATACTGTAAATGCAGAAATTATTGTGATGTTTTTATTATTGCAAAAAATGCTACAGGGTTATAATTGTAGTAATTTAAACTGGCATTTTGATTTTTTTATGGCCCGCAACAAAGTTGTCGGGGCCATATAGTTTTACCCTTGTCTGTCATTCCATCATTCCGTCACAAACCATTATACAGACTTTTTTTCTGAACGCCTTCAGATATTGGCAAATTTTTGGTATGTAAGTTAACCATGATGAGTTACAGATCAAGTTTAAGTTTCGTTCCGCTCTGCAAATTTTTGCCGAAATTTTGGGCTTTGGACTTTGATAAATTGTTGAAAATTACAGTTATATGGTCTTTTTTTCTAAACACCTTCAGCTATTTGGCTGATTTTTGGTATGTGAGTTAACCATGATGAGTTACAGATCAAGTTTAAGTTTCGTTCCGCTTTGCTAATGTTTGCCGAAATAACGGGCTTTGGACTTTTATAAATTGTTGAAAATCACAGTTATACAGACTTTTTTTCTAAACGCCTTCAGATATTGGGCTGATTTTTGGTTTGTGAGTTAACCATGATGAGTTACAGATCAAGTTAAAGATTCGTTACACTCTGCTAATTTTTGCTGAAATTACGGGCTTTGGACTTTGATAAATTATTGAAAATCACAGTTATACGGACTTTTTTTAGCTCAAAGTGAGCTTTTCTCATCACTTGGCGTCCAGCATCCGTCGTTGTCGTTTACTTTTTACATTTTGAACTTCTTCTAGAGAACCACTGAATGGAATGAAACCAAACATGGCATGAATGTTCCTTATGAGGTGCTGACCAAGTGTTGTTACTTTGTAGCTGATCCATCATCCAAGATGGCCGCCAGCGGGGGACTTAGTTTAACATAGGACCCTATGGGAAAAACATACAAATGTCTTCTTTTAGAGAACCAGTAAATGGAATGAAACAAAACATGGCATGAATGTTCCTTATGAGGTGCTAACCAAGTGTTGTTACTTTGCAGGCGGTCCATCATCCAAGATGGCCTCTAGCGGGGGACTAAGTTTAACATAGGACCCTATGGGAAATACATACAAATGTCTTCTTTTAGAGAACCAGTGAATTGAATGAAACTAAACATGGCATGAATGTTCCTTATTTATGAGGTGCTGACCAAGTATTGTTACTTTGCAGTCAGTCCATCATCCAAGATGGCCGCCAGAGGGGGACTTAGTTTAACATAGGACCCTTTGGGAAATACATACAAATGTCTTCTTTTAGAGAACCACTGAATGGAATCAAACAAAACATGGCATGAATGTTCCTTATGAGGTGCTAACCAAGTGTTGTTACTTTGCAGTCAGTCCATCATCCAAGATGTCCGCCAGCGGGGGACTTAGTTTAACATAGGACCCTATGGTAAATACATACAAATGTTTTCTTTTAGAGAACCACTGCATGGAATGAAACAAAACATGGCATGAATGTTCCTTAGGAGGTGCTGACCAAGTGTTGTTACTTTGCAGTCGGTCCATCATCCAAGATGGTCGCAGCGGGGGACTTAGTTTAACATAGGACCCTATGGGAAATACATACAAATGTCTTCTTTTAGAGAACTACTGAATGGAATGGAACCAAACATGGCATGAATGTTCCTTATGAGGTGTTGACCAAGTGTTGTTTCTTTGCAGCTGATCCATCATCCAAGATGGCTGCTAGCGGGGGACTTAGTTTAACATAGGACCTTATGGACAATACATACAAATGTCTTCTTTTAGAGAACCACTGAATTGAATGAAACCAAACATGGCATGAATGTTCCTTATGAGGTGCTGACCAAGTGTTGTTACTTTGCAGTCAGTCCATCATCCAAGATGGCCGCCAGGGAGGGGACTTAGTTTAACATAAGACCCTATGGGAAATACATACAAATGTCTTCTTTTAGAGTACCACTGAATGGAATGAAACCAAACTTAGCATGAATGTTCCTTATGAGGTGCTGACCAAGTGTTGTTACTTTCAGCCGATCTATCATCCAAGATGGCCACCAGTGGGTGACTTAGTTTAACATAGGACCATATTGGAAATACATACAAATGTCTCCTTTTAGAGAACCACTAAATGGTATGAAACCTAACTTCGCATAAATGTTCCTTATGAGGTGCTGACCAAATGTTGTTACTTTGCAGTTGGTCCATCATCCAAGATGGCCGCCAGTGGGGGACTTAGTTTAACATAGGACCCTATGGAAATACATACAAATTTCTTCTTTTAGAGAACCACTGAATGGAATGAAACCAAACATGGCATGAATGTTACTTATGAGGTGCTGACCAAGTGTTGTTACTTTGCAGTCAGTCCATCATCCAAGATGGCTGCCAGGGGGGGGGGGGGCTTAGTTTAACATAGGACCCTATGGGAAATACATACAAATGTCTTCTTTTAGAGTACCACTGAATGGAATGAAACCAAACTTGGCATGAATGTTCTTATGAGGTGCTGACCAAGTGTTGCTACTTTGTTGCCGATTTACTGTTCAAGATGGCCACCAGGATATTTTATTAAATAACGGGACAAATATTAAACCAACTTTGGCCTCAATCATTATTTGGATATCTGTTATGATTTTTATCTATCTTTACATGATTTCTAAAACCAAAGTAGAGTCAGGTGAGCGACACAGGCTCTTGAGAGCCTCTAGTTTCTATACGCCCTCAGATTTTGCGCTGATTTTTTATATGTGAGTCTACCATGATGAGTTACGTCTCAAGTTTATGTTTTTTTCCGATATGCTGATTTTCATGTCGTTACAACACATCTTCAGTACATCCACTTCCTGTTTGCTGATAGTTTGAAATTGAACTACTCATTGATCAAGGAAATTTTTCATCAAACTAGTATTGGTCTTGAGAGCTGGATACTATCCATGCATGTTTGTGTCCACATGTGTTGTTAAAATTGCAGATTTTTAAAACTTTTTGAGACGAGGCCATTCGTGTCGATCCGACACATCTAGTTTTTTTATATGAATTAAACAGTATTTTTCTCAATATTGCAAAAATTAAAACTGCATTTTAGTCTTAAATGACAAAATTACAATAATAAATTCACGCAATAATTTCTGAATTTACAGTAGGTACATAGAATTTTTATCTCCCCACTGGAGCCAATATTAAATGTTACCCTTGACTGTCCTTCTGTCTGAATTTTGTTTCCCTGCTCAACTTAAGGTTGTTTCATAAAACAATTATGATTTCATACACAATGTTAAGAACCACAACATGCAGAGTAAGTTAGAATTTGGGTTGTGAGTCATTTTTAGCTCACCTGACCTGAAAGGTCAAGTGAGCTTTTCTCATCACTTTGCGTCCGTCGTCCGTAAACTTTTACAAAAATCTTCTCCTCTGAAACTACTGGGCCAAATTTGACCAAACTTGGCCACAATCATTATTGGGGTATCTAGTTTAAAAAATGTGTCCGGTGACCCGGCCAACCAACCAAGACGGCCGCCATGGCTAAAAATAGAACATAGGGGGTAAAATGTAGATTTTGGCTTATATCTCTGAAACCAAAGCATTTAATGCAAATCTGACTTGGGGGTAAAATTGTTTATCAGGTCAAGATCTATCTGCCCTGAATTTTTCAGATGAATCGGACAACCCGTTGTTGGGTTGCTGCCCCTGAATTGGTAATTTTAAGGAAATTTTGCAGTTTTTGGTTATTATCTTGAATATTATTATAGATAGAGGTAAACTGTAACAGCAATAATGTTCAGCAAAGTAAGATCTACAAATAAGTCAACTTGACCAAAATGGTCAGTTGACCCCTTAAGGAGTTATTGCCCTTTATAGTCAATTTTTAACCATTTTTCGTAAATTTTTGTAATCTTTTACAAAAATCTTCTCCTCTGAAACTACTAAGACAAATTTAACCAAACTTGTCCACAATCATCATTAGGGTATCTAGTTTAAAAAATGTGTCCAATGACCCCGCCCGCGAACCAAGATGGCCGACATGGCTAAAAAATAGTACATAGGGTAAAATGCAGTTTTTGGCTCATATCTCTGAAACCAAAGCATTTAGAGCAAATCTGATGAGTATAAAATTGTTCATTAGGTCAAGATCTATCTGCCCTGAAATTTTCAGACCAATCAGACAACCTGTTGTTGGGTTGCTGCCCCTGAATTGGTAATTTTAAGGAAATTTTGCCGTTTTTGGTTATTATCTTGAATATTATTATAGATAGAGATAAACTGTAAACAGCAATAATGTTCAGCAAAGTAAGATCTACAAATAAGGCAACTTGACCAAAATTGTCAATTGACCCCTCAAGGAGTTATTGCCCTTTATAGTCAATTTTACAATTTTCATAAATTTTGTAAATTTTTGTAAATTTTTAAAAGTATTTTCCACTGTAACTACCGGGCCAAGTTCATTATAGATAGAGATAATAGTAAGGAGCAAGAATATTCAGTAAAGTAAGATCTACAAACACATCACCATCACCAAAACACAATTTTGTCATGAATCTATCTGTGTCCTTTGTTTAATATGCACATAGACCAAGGTGAGCGACACAGGCTCTTTAGAGCCTCTAGTTCTAGTTTACCTTTCTAGAGTTATGCCTATTTTGAACTTTGAAATGTCAAAGCTTGAGAGGAGGTATTACTGTTCTCAGACACATTCTTCTTTTATTTTTATGTGGGAACCACCTGCAATGTTATCATGTACAAAGCGTGGTAATAGATATATAGTGTGGTGATAGACATACATTTTGATATACTATATGAATAGTGCCAATAAAAATATATAGGACAGGAGTTTTATGCTTACAAAGCGAGAAGAAAGTCATCTTCTAAACAAGTATATTTGTTTTTATTTTGGCCTAAATATTATTGAGAATATGATTATACAAGTTGTGAGCTGTACAGTTGAAGACACCAAGGGTGTCTGAAAGCATCAACAAAAAAATCATGACATCTAGGGGTCAATACATTCTACAGAGACTTCAAATATTCTGCCATCAATATGCATTAGAAATAATCAATGTGTTTAAGACGTCATCTCTACTCAAGTTTAAACCACTAGAACACATTTATAGACATTCTTGTTTATCTTTATACTGTAACTGGACATCAACTATTATTTTTGCTTGGGTTGGATGAAATACAAAACATACTTACAGTATGATGACATTTGGCAGGGAAAAGTGGGTACCTAATTTGTGTAATCAACTCCTCCACAGTTTTCATCCCAGATCCTTGAAACTTTACTGGAAGATTGCACACATGTTGAACATTGTTGAAGTTGTGCACCTTCTTTTTTTGGAATTGTTTGAGGATTTATTTCTTATTTTTCCAGACTTGGGAAGTTAGTCATTTTTCAAAAATTGAAATGTTCAGTAAAAGAGCATTCTCTTTGTTTAAAAGAAACAGTCGTTTGATGTATTTTATAATTCTATTTTTTCAATTTCAGTAATAGAGAACATGTCTGACCCCGAAGATGATTCTTTTAATGAGTATGAAATTGCACCAACCCAGTGTAAAGTTCTACCAGGGAGAATATCTCCAAGACAACATAAAGTTACATCAATGCCAGGGAGAACATCTCCAATGGAAATTACATTAAATCAGAATCAGGATAAAGAAGCACTAGAACATGTTGAAATTTCACCATCTGAAATGGAAATAGCAGCTGACTCAGAGACGGAAATAGCAGCTGACACAGAGACAGAAATATCAGCTGACGCAGAGACATCTTATATCCCAACATGCCAAAATGTCATTTCGACGGACACAGACTCTAGGTATAATTTATTAATATAGGTAGTAAAGATATGCATGTCTAAACATGTGACTTCTGTAAATTCAGAAACTATTGCGAGGTTTTTAATAATACAAATAATTTGACTGGCTGAGTATTGCAATAATAAGAACTCACATTCTGAAATCCGATACACATATCTGTATGCAGATTTTTCTGAAATCGCAATAATTAATCTTTCTTTCTTGTCCATTCCTCCAAAATGGCAATAATAAATGCAGGCAATAAATTGTGAATTTACAGTACTTTATGACAGAATTTCTCCTTGGGATAACATGTGGTTATACAGGGCTAACACCACAATATATAATTAACAAATTAAACAAAACTTACCTAAGTTGTAGTTTGATGTTAATTTGGTAAGGTCCAATCTACCAGAATCACATGAGTGAACAGATGATCACATGATGCAAATCAGACTTCAGAGTGGAGAAAGTCAGGAACTGAAACTTCCATAATGAGGGTGGGCACAAATCACAACTCGGGCGGGCATGTGATTCTGGTAGATTGGACCTTACCAAATTAACATCAAACTACAACTTAGGTAAGTTTTGTTTAATTTGTTAATTTAGTAAGTCCAATCTACCTATAGAATCACATGAGTCTTTAGAGTTCAGTTCTGCACTTTCAATCAAAATCTTTGTTAAGTAGCAACAGTTATACTATAAACACTACATATTTTCACTACTTGAAAACACTACTAATTCTAAATTTCAGAAATTATATACATCCATATACACAAAACTATCTTATTTCCCCTTGGCCAATAAGATTTCTTTACTGAAGGAGCTGTCATTAGTAATTGGTCTTTGATAAAATTTTCTAAACACACTATCTTTCCTCCATCCAGCTGTGCGAAGAATCGTAGCTATTGGAATTCGTCCACTAACATAGGAAGTAGCAGCTCCTCTAGTACTATGAGGTGTAAAGATTGTCATATCTATTCCAGCCAAAATTAAAACTTGTTTAATCCACTTAGCAATGGTACCCTTTTTTACAGGTTTATACGGTTTTTGGAAACTCAAAAACAATAGAGTATTATTAAATCTCAAATTATTTGTGCGTTCTAAATATTCATGTAATGTATGAACCACACAAATCCTAAAATCTGGCTTAAATGCTTCTATAAATATCTCTGGTAACTGATATCCAGGTCTAGTTTGCTTAAGCAAGTCTCCATATCTTATTTTAACTGAGCATGTATCAAGTTCCAAATTTCTAATATCTATTAAGAAAATACTCTGCATTCTTTGACCTGTTGTTAAAGCTAATAACATGGCCAATTTAAATGTTAACTTTTTTAATGTAATATCTTTCACTGGTTTCCAAGTCTTTAACAGACTTAACACAATTTCCACATTCCAGGTACAATTATACCTAGGTAAAACCGGTTTCTTGTTAAATATTCCCTTCATAAATTGTTTAACATGAAAATGTTTTCCAATTTGCACATTAGTAATAAGGTAAACAAAACTAGATACTGCTGATTAAGCAGTATTAACAGCACTATATCCTAGGCCGTTCAGATGCAATTCTAACAAAAATTTTAATACACTATTTACAGATGGATCAAATCGATCCGTTTTTTCTTTGTCACAAAAAAGCAGCCATTTTTTGATATATGTCCCATACTGTTTTTTGGTAGAATCTCTCCATGAATTGATGATGATGTTGGCAGCCTCTGCTGATACTCCTCCCTCACACATTTTATTCCGGAGATCTTGAAAGCCCCCAATCTCATATTTTTCAAAGGATGAGTTTGATTTGTTTTGGGATTCGTCAGAATCCTTTCCACTTTTGGCAAAATATATGGTTGATCGCAAATCATTTGTAGTAGCTGAGGAAACCAAGGCTGTGTCGAAAATAAAGGTGCTATAACTAATGCGGTTGTTTTTTCCTGACAAATTTTCTGTAACACTGCACTGATCACACTGAAAGGAGGGAATATATAAGCATAAAATGTATTCCAAGTTAAAGAGAATGCATTAACAGCCAAAGCATTCACATCCGGGCCAAAAGATACATATTGTTCTAATCTATTGTTATGTGTTGATGCAAATAAATTAATGTCACATGGACCAAGTTTATTCATTATACACTCAAAAATACTATCAATGATCATCCATTCCATATCTGAATTAGACTTGTGTCTGCTTAACGCATCTGCTTTTATATTTAACTTCCCTGGTATATGAAAAACACTAAGCCAAATTTGTCTATGTATACACCACAACCATATCTCTTTAGCTAAATTATTTAACTCCTCTTTTCTTCCTCCCATTTTACTCAAATACTTAATGGCAGTTGTATTATCAAGAAATAATTGTACATGTTCATTACGAGTTCTGTCACAAAAGGCTTTTAATGCAAGAAAAGCTGCTTTCAGTTCCAAAAAATTTATGTGTTTATTACGTTCACTTAAACTCCAAACACCTGATAATGTAAGATTATTTGTTACATCAAGTGCTCCATATCCTAACATACTACTGTCAGATTCAATTTTTCTATCTGGTGGTTTAAAAACAAATAGGTTTATAACTATCATGAATGTTTTCAATCCACCAGTTTATACATTGTTTACTCTCATTTGATAATATAATCCTAGCATCAAAATTTCCTTTATTCAATTTCAATTCAACATCCTTTTGTATTTCCAAAGTTTTGTAAAAAACTGGTGCATATAAAACACCATGTTCACTGGCAACCAACTTTCCAATTAACTGTGCAAATTCACATATAGTAATAAAACATTTCCTTAACAAAGTTCTGCATAATTCCACAATATTTGCAACTTTCTTGGGTGCTAGGTTCACTACCATGCTCACAGAGTCTATACTGAATCCTAAAAATTCAATGTTTTGAGCAGGCACAACAACTGATTTTTCTTTATGTATAGTAAATCCAAGACTATCAAACAATTTCATTGTTTCTTGGACATTATTTAGGCATTCCTCATAAGTATCCCCTACCAATAAAATGTCATCAATATACGCACAATTAACATATCCTTCTTTCCTTAAAGAAGATAACACAGGTTTTAACAACTTTGTGAAAATACGAGGAGCTGGTGATAAACCATTAGGCATAGCTGTAAACTGATATAATTGACCTTTCCATGTAAATTTCAAAATTTTTCTATCTTCCTTTTTTATTCCTAAACTGTAATATGCATCTTTAATATCATGAATATCCAACTTTGCAAAGAAATTTTTATTTTTCACTAATTCTAATGCTGACTTGAAAGTTTCCATCTTGAAATGTTTATATTCCAAATGCTCATTCAGATTACTTAAATTTAATATTAATCTAAATGAACCATCAGCTTTGGGCCTAATAAAAATACTAGATAATACTTCCCCACACTGATGAATTACAGGTTCAATAACCTTTTTGTGTAAAAATTTTGTTAACAAATTGTGGATAACTATTTGTTCACTTTCATTAAATTTAATTTCTTTTCGTGAACATTTACTACATGGTTCACATTTAAATTCCAAGTGATAACCTTGACATACAATATTCAAGAGGTTCCTATCACTTGTAATTGTTTTCCATGTTTCACTATACTGAGCTATTTTTCCAGCAACAAAGTTGTCAGTAGTATTATGCAGACAATTAAGATTTAATAATGTACTTACATTACTATTACTATGTGTGTCCATTTCTAATGGCCCATATTCCCCTTTCCTTTCTTGCTGAAGGGTTTCTTCTGTTCTCCTCGTATCTGGGCCTTCTTGGCTAAAAAATTGTTTTTAAATCCACTTTTCCCTTTGAAACTTCCATTGTCAGACTTAAAATTATCATGACGAGAATAAGTATCCTTAACTTCAGGTACATGTGCCTTATCCCTGTTCCATGCACTTTTAACCTTCATTTTATTGCCCAATTTCGTACTATCGTCTATTTCTTTCATCCGTTGTTCCAGATTTTCTCTGTCCCCAAATAAATAGTTCGGCGAAATTTTCTCATCTTTGTGGCTCAGAGCTGAATATTTTTTGTCTAAAGCTGGCGTTAGCAACTTCCTCCTTTGACTAGACAAATCTCTATGTGCATACAACAGCAAATTTAAGGAGTCCAGGGATAGTTCAAACGTCTCTTCCGATCCTTCCGACGAGCTTTTCAAAGACTTTTCCATCAGCTGAACAACAGGTACCATCCCTTTAACTAGATACCCCTGGGTTCTTTGCAGGGATCTGTCATTATCTTTCAGACGTTTAGATGTTTCCTTCGAACTCCACAGCACTTTGTTCTCCTGAGAAGATTCATAATCACGTTCCGATTCCTCCTCCGAAACACTATCATAGAATGTATTTGGAGATTTGCCCCGTTTATTGTTTTGTATTCTCAACTGCGTCGGCGCAATCGGATCAGCTGTTTTCTGAAGAACCGCGTTTTTTATTTCAATTACCGATTTGGTTAGTTCATTGATAGCTTTTTGTTGTTCAAAGTAAAGCTTTTGGTTGTTTATCAATTGCTCATTGTATTGAGCTAACAAATCCGGTCGATGTTGATTAACTTCAACACTTGCAGTAAAAGGTGCATTGTTAGGCTCCACCCCCTTTTTGTTTTTCTCAACTGTCCCTCGTTTCGGAACAGAATTTAAACGGGTGGACTGTGAAGATGATGGAGCTCCAGTATGAATCAACTGAAGAGAACCATCATCCTTCACCACTATTGCCTGGTCTTGGAAAACATTGCAATTTTCCACCACTGGATCCAAAATAATAAATTCCTCTGCCATTGTTCGGAATTTCCTAAACGCACGTGCCCTCTCTATCAGCGCAAACACATTTAACAAAGAAATTTGTTTACAAACGTAAGTTCATGTCAAATGAATATTACTAATAACATCACTATATTTAAACTTTCAAACTACGAAAAATCCCTGACTATCCAAACACTAACATATATGAAATTTTAAATTTTTGTCTCCTGAATAAAAAGTCTAACTTTGCATAACAAAGGATCAACCTCGTTCTGATTTGCATCATGTGATCATCTGTTCACTCATGTGATTCTATAGGTAGATTGGACTTACTAAATATATAATTTGTCTCAAATTTAGCCCAACAAGGTTAGATCTTCAAATTTGCGTGAGCAAATTTTTATTCTTCCCTCAGCGGAATTCGAGTCCTTGCTTCTGAAACATTGTGGCAACACCACATACACCGTGTCCTGCCACCTAAACCACTCAACTGGCTAGGCTACTTAATGATATAACTTTGGGTGGTTGGTGTAATAGATATATTTATCGTCCTTCCATATACCTATATTACCTTGCTCAGTCGCTCTGTAATTCTATCACGGCTTTGAGATGAGAGCAGGCATTATCAGCGCTGTCACAATGTCTGATGAGAAGTTGTCAAGCTTGCTTTTGTCAAGCGTAAAACTGTACAAGGGAGGAGGAAAAGACCAGTAATAAAAAGATAAACAGATAATTTGGTTTTCTTTTTCTAGATGTCGTAAAATATCAGCCGCTTGACACAATGTGAAGCTTTTTTGCTAGTTTGCTGCGCTCACTCATCAAAAAGGTTCACATTGTGGCTCATGGCTGATATTTTTACGTTATCAATGTGTAGAAAACACAGAATTGTATATGTGTAGATAATCTATACATATACAATTGACAATAATAATATTATTTAAGTTACACAAAAAGAAAATTGCAGGCAATAGTAAAATTTACCATGAAATTGTGGTCATCTTAATACATGTTCATTGTGATAAATTTGGATTTACATTTACATTTAATTCTACATTTGAATTCTTCATTTTCATTATAGTAGCAAGGTGCACCTTACACAGCTGACAATCCAACTGAAATGTAGTGGAAAAATGAAGCTGACGGGTGAAGAATTAAGTTTGCCTAAATGGAGAGATGGAACGCTAAGAATGAAGTGTGTGAATGGATCCTGGGATATGGATTTAGATTACTATGTTATAGGAGGTGGAATGATAACTATAAACTATAATGTATGTGAAATGAAAAAGTAACATATGAGCTGTGTCGGATAGAAATCGACCTTATAAAAGTGCACGTACATGTATAAGTGTTTGATTGATTTCGGAACATTCAAATACGAAATAATAGATGAGTTTTGGTCTGTTTTGTAGGGTTCTTATATCGACTTAATTTTCAAATAGTTAGAAAACCTTGCGTAGAGATTTGTTCAACCTGAAATAAGTTAACAGATGTGTTGATATTCATTTGCATAAGGTCGATTTCTTTCCAACGCAGCTCATATACTACAAATTTATTTTAAGTTTATGGGTTCCAATTTTTGTGGATTGATGTAAGAAGAAAACTGTGAATGGAAACGGGGAATGTGTCAAAGACGCAACAACCTGACTAAAGAGCAGAAAACAGGCCAAGGCCACCAATGGGTTTTCATCACAGCCAGAAAATCTTGCACCCTGAGGTGGGTTTCGGCTGGCCCTTCAACAAAAATGTGTACTAATTCAGCGAAAACAGATGTCACACTTAAATTGGAAACTTATAAATGAACCAAAATTAAAAAAAACCAAACAAGACAAACATAGGCCACATGCCCCTTACTTGGGTCAGGTGCAAAAATGTGTTAAACATGTTTTGTGAGATCTCAACCCTCCGTCTATACCTCTAGCCAATGAAGAATGTAGAATAAACAAACACACAGTAATACGCACAGTAAAACTCAGTATGAAAATCAAGCACAATCCCTCCCCTTAGGGTTTTAGTATTTTTATGCAGTATGCCTATTAAATTTAGTATCATATTATTTTTGCAAAGATTGCCACTCAAACTGATGCTAGGGTGCAATCTTAGACTTGCAGTGAGGTGGTAGTTTCTCTGTGTTGAAGTTCTCACTCTTTTGATAATGTTGATTCGTTTATATCATGGTAAACAATTTTTATACGCCTGTCAAATTTTTGACGGGACGTATTATGTTATACAAATGTCCGGCGTCCGTCCGTCTGTCTGTCCGGCGTAAACATGTCGCACCGTAACTTGAGAATGACTTATCCAAATTTCATGAAACTTAACATAGTTGTTTCTTATGATGGTCAAATGATCTGTATACTTTTTGGTGAAAATAAGATTAAAACTTTTTGAGTTACGGGACTTAGTAACTAAAACAGGTGTGTGTTTTTTTTTCACATGTGGCGCCGTATCTCAAAAACAATTTATGATTATTGCTTAAAACTTTACACACTTCTTAGTTATATTAATCTTAAGATCTGTATACTTTTTGGTGATGATTCAAAATTTTATTTTAGAGATATTGAGTATTTTGTTAAAAAAGGGGGAGGGGTTTTTCACATGTCGCGCCGTATCTCAAAAACAGTTTATGATTATTGCTTAAAACTTTACACACTTCTTAGTTATATTAATTTAAAGATCTGTATACTTTTTGGTGATGATTCAAAATTTTATTTTTGAGTTATTGAGTATTTTGTAAAAAAAGGGGGAGGGGTTTTTCACATGTCGCGCCGTATCTCAAAAACGATTTATGATTATTGCTTAAAATTTTACACACTTCTTAGTTATATTAATCTAAAGATCTGTATACTTTTTGGTTTTGATTCAAAATTTTATTTTAGAGATATTGAGTTTTTTGTAAAAAAAAAAGGGGGGTTTTCGCATGTCACGCCGTATGTCAGAAACTATTTATGCTTATTGCATAAAAATTCACTCACAAGACGACGGGCGTATCATGCGCTCATGGCGCAGCTGTTTATTATAGACTGTGGAAAGACTGTATTTGGGTTGGTAATTGATTACTTGTTTTTGTCCATATTTGGCATATAATAGAATTGAGAATGCAAACGGGGAATGTGTCAAAGAGAACAACTCCCAAAGAGCAAAAAACAACCAAAGTCCACAAATGTGTCTTCTACACAGCAAGAAAATCCAGCCTTTAAAAAATGCTTTCCCTATGAACATTCAAATTTTTTGTCCAGCTTTGTGTATCTGCCAGGTTTGAACTCTAATCTTGATTGGTCTTTTTCTTTGCCTTTAAAGTCATAACAAAAATGAGATTGGTAGAAAGGTCAGAAACCCACAACAGATGCTGAAAAATATAATAGATTTTGCTCATGATACTTCAAATCCCCAATTCAACAGTTATTGAAATTGTTCACAAATTTTCAGAATCCAGTTCTTTTAAAAATAAACGGAGAAGTGACGGACCATTATTTGTAAAACCAGGCTAATACCGCAAACTAAAACAAGTTGTAAAAGTTCTTTGTGTGACATCAAAAACAAGTTAAATGAAGAAAATAGTCTTTATCTTTTAAACCATGCCATTCTGCACCATTTGCAAACATTGGTACCACAGGGGTATTTGTAAGAAAAAAGTTGTCATCAGAGAAGAGTCAATCCTTAAAAAAAGACTTGCATGGTGCAGAGAAAAAAGGTGATGGACGGTTAATGGCAACTGAAAAAGGTCATTTTCTCAAATACAAGTAAAATTATGATTTCAAAGGATGACAACACCTCTGTCCATCTCACTTTGATGAAATTTTAGCTGAGAAAATCCTCCTCGTTTTCAAAACAGTAGATAATCTGTTATAGTAATGGAGCATTGTTTCTTTTCAGATTTCTACAAGAGTTATAATAAAGGTTATATGTAAAAGTCAACTGATCGTGCAGTTAAAACCTGCCGACAGCCTGCCTGTTACAGTTCGTCTGAAGCCTCATACACTAAATGACAGAAATAATATGATCAAAATGTTTCATAAACTATTGGAGATTCAGAGGACAACAGAGAGTAAGTTTATGAGGGAATTTAGTGTCGGATTCGAAAAAAAAAATGACCAAATTTCAAAAAAAGAAATAAGAGAAAGCTCTTTGTTAAAGAGAGGTGAAAGATAACAAAGGGATATTCAAACTCATAAGTCGAAAACAAACTGACAATGACATGGCAAAAAAATGAAAAACAGTGAAAAGATAATCCACCAGCACACAAAACACAAAATAGAAAAGTAAAGACTGAGCAAGACCATTAGGTACTCTTAAAGGGTAAACAGATCCTGCTCTACATGTGGAGATGCTTTCTGATAATTATCAAAAAGAAAAAAAAATTGGGTCAATGTTAAAACTATTTATGAATTTTTCTTATTTACCACCCCTTGAAAAGCATATTCATTTATTGTCGAGCCTTCGACTTTTGTCGAAAAAGCAAGACATAGTGATCCTACATTCCGTAGGCAGCGGCGTCCACAAATATTCACTCTGTGGTTAAAGTTTTTGAAATTTTAATAACTTTCTTAAACTATCCTTGATTTCTACCAATCTTGGACAGAAGCTTGTTTATGATCAGAAGATAGTATCCATTAATAAATATTGTAAAAAAAAAATCCTGTTTATCCGTATTTTACTTATAAATGGACTTAGTTTTTCTGCCAGTTAACATTACATTCACTCTGTGGTTAAAGTTTTTCAAATATTAATAACTTTCTTAAACTATCCTAGATTTTTACCAAACTAGGACAAAAGCTTGTTTATAATCACAATAGGTATCCAGAAGTAAATTTTGTAAAAAAAAAAAAACCTTTTTTTCCTATTTTACTTATAAATGAACTAAGTTTTTCTGCCAGTTAACATAACATTCACTCTGTGGTTAAAGTTTTTAAAATTTTAATAACTTTCTTAAACTATCCTGGATTTCTACCAAACTTGGACAGAAGCTTCTTTATGATCAAAAGCTAGTATCTAGAAGGAAATTTTGTAAAAATATATTTCATGTTTTTCTGTATGTTACTTAATTGGTACGTAGTTTTCTTCCAGTAAACATTACATACAACCTGCAGTTAAAGTTCCTAAAACATTTATTAGCTTCATAAAGTAGGCGAGACACTGGGTTTCGCGGAACCCTTACAAATTTTTTCTTATTTTTATATGACGGGACGTATTATGGTATACAAATGTCTGGCGTAAACATGTCGCACTGTAACTTGAGAACAAATTATCCAAATTTCATGAAACTTAAAATAGTTGTTTCTTATGATAGTCAAACGATCTGTATACTTTTTGGTGAAAATAAGATTAGAACTTTTTGAGTTACGGGACTTTGTAACTAAAACAGGGGTGTGTTTTTTTCACATGTCGCGCCGTATCTCAAAAACAATTTTTGATTATTGCTTAAAACTTTACACACTTCTTAGTTATATTAATCTAAAGATCTGTATACTTTTTGGTGATGATTGAAAATTTTATTTTAGAGTTATTGAGTTTTTTGTATTTTTATTGAGCTTTTTGGTAAAAAACATATAAAACATGTTGTGAGCGTCTCTTATATTAACTTCCTATTGAGCAGGAATAAGGAATGAGTCAGGATATACTTAGCATGACTTCCTGTACAACCCCTGTGTTATTCCAAAAACATTTATTATGTTTTTTTCACAAGACGACAGGTATATCATGCGCTCGTGGTGCAGCTGTTTATTTTTTCTTAAATTAAAATTTATTTTTTAACTTTATTTAAATAAAGCTATTTCCATGAGATAGAATCTTGTTATTTTGTTCATTTGAATGTTTGGTTTTAAAACAAATTTCATTTCTGCACTAACATCTGCTATCAAATCATTGTAATCCAAGAGAAAAACTCCCTAAACATTGTTAAGAACCAATAGTTTTCTGATGAAATTTTCGCTATATATACATTGTACTGGTACACATTTTTATTTAGGGGCCAGCTGAGGCCCACCTCCGGGTGCAGGATTTTCTCGCTCAGTTACAGACCAATTTTTGGTGGCCTTCAGCTGCATTCTCTTCTTTGGTCGGGTTGTCTCTTTGATATATTCCACTTTTCCATTCTCAATTTTACTAAATTCAACTTTCCTGTAGTGAGCTATGTAAATAATCAATGTGTGTTTTTATACCATTTTGATGTTAATTATTTTTCAGAAGTGAACCAACCAGTGATCAGTAATAAAAGATGTGTCTCTAATCTATCTCATCAGGAATCCAGAGAGGACACCAGGTAAAGCTGACAAATTAATTCTGACACATAAAAGTGGGTGTGTTATGTGTGAGGATTTGATAGGACAAGGAACAAATGGAATATTTGGTTCTCATTTACATCCTTAGAAAATGTATATACATGTATTATGTAAATGCTTAAAAATTTTATTTCTTTGAAATTATACCACTTTTGAATGAAGTGAATTGATATGTTAAGATTATTTTAGATCACTAAGCACTGTTCACCTGTCATTTTTGTGTCAATTTATCCAGAGTTATGGCCCTTGATTATTGGGGAAAGTAATAAATGTTGTTGTTTTTGTCGAGTCTGCAACTTTTGTTGCAGAAAGCTTGACATTGGGATAGTGATTCGGCAGCGTTAGTTAACCTCATAAAAGCTTAATATTTAAGAAGTTAGAAGTCCATTGTCCTTAACTTATTTTCATGGTTCAGTGACTACTTGAAGAAAAAGTTAAGATTTTTAGTATTCTTAATTTCTCTCTTATTATGAGTAATAGGATAACCATATTTGGTATGTGCATACGTAACAAGGTCCTCGTGCCCGTCAGACAGTTTTCACTTGACCTCCGCATCATTTCATGGATCAGTGAACAAGGTTAAGTTTTTGTGGTTAAGTTCATATCTCAGAAACTATAAGCAATAGGTCTCCTATATTTGGTGATTGGAATGATTGTAAGGTGTACATGTCCAACTGGCAGGTGTCATCTGACCTTGACCTCATTTTCATGGTTCAGTGGTTATAGTTAAGTTTTTGTGTTTTGGTCAGTTGTTTTAATACTGTATGCAATAGGTCAACTATATTTGGTGTATGAAAATATTTTACGATGTATATGTCAGTCTAATATGTTTTATTTGACCTTGACCTAGTTTTTAAATGTTAAATTTTTATTTTTGGTCTGTTTTTCTAATACTTTTAGCAATAGATCAACTATATTTGGTGTATGGAATGATTGTAAGGTGTTTATGTCTGTCTGCCAATTATTATCTGACCATGACCTAATTTTCATGGTTCATTGGTCAATGTTAAGTTTTCCTGGGTAGTTTGTTTCTTAGATACTATATGCCAAAGGTCAACTATATTTAAAACATGTAATGATTGTAAGGTGTACATGTCTGTCTGGCAGCGTTCATCTGACCTTGGCCTCATTTTCATGGTTCATTGATCAATGTTAAGTTTTCCTGGGTAGTTTGTATCTTCTATGTGCAATAGGTCAACTCTGTGTAAAGCATATTTGGTGTATGGAATGATTGTAAGGTGTACATGTATTTCCAGTTTGGTTTATCTGACATTTACCTCATTTTCTTGGATCATGTTAAATTGATGTGATAGTTGTAGTAAAGCTTTATATTTAGGACTATCAACATAATATCAATGGTAAGTAAAGAAGGCAAGACATTTCAGCGTGTTTATTCATACCGTAGAAAGGCTTCTATAGTCCGCGGTTTTATTCTCCAAAATTGGACCTTCCAGACGGGGTGTGGACTATAGAGTACAATAAGCAAGAAATACGAGAAACATTTCAATTTCGCGGGCGAGGTGGTTTGTTTACATTCTGCCATCTTTGTTATTTATATTGAAGAGGGCGCTCTTATCATTTTTCAAACTAATAATTTTAACTCATCCATATTAATAAGTTATTTCTATTTAATATCAAATTAATACTGATAAATATAAAAACTAAACCTTTCTTTACAAATTTCTCGTTTCTTTTCAATGCATTGGTTGAAATAAACTGGTACCTGCTTGATTGAAACGAAACAAACATAGTGAAAAAGACAACCGTAAACCAGCTTAGAATTTGTAAACTACAAAACGTAATCGGTTATTGTTCGTTCCGTTTTGGTGTTTCATACTGACTAATGTGGTTTGTATTAGCTTAAGACCCTTCAAAAATTAATGTGCTAGATATATTAAAGACTGTTTTACAAAAGAATGGAACTGTTTTACTTTCAAAGTCGTATTATAGTGATATATGTTATGTACGGATTTCGACTCTCACCGGTTAATTTCTTCTTTTACACGTGCTTTTTAAACTTCCTGTTTAAACATACACAAGTTTCTAAATTGTTTTTTAAGTGAATTAAACTTATTTTAACAATCATGAAGCGTTCTAGAATCAATTACAAGCAGTTTCAGCTTCTGTTTGATGATGGAAAACAGGTTTTTCCAAGAAAATACCGCAAACGACCGCACAGGATTTGAAATTACCGGAGTTTCATTAGACCTTTTCTAACAGTTACAAAAAGTATTTTTACCTAAAATTTCGTGGGGAGAAGGGGGTGCGGACTATGTACCAGTGCGAACTATACAAGCCTTTCTACGGTAGATAGATTGAAATTTTTTAAACTTAGCGTTCATCATGATGTTTTCAAATTTGAATTTATCTGGTTTCTGGAAAATAAGAAGCATCGTCGTGGATTATGATTTTCATGTTATGCATTTAACAACTAACCATAGGTTTTGTTTGATTTTTGTTAATTTTTTTTTTTCTTTAAACATTCAAGAGGGTTGTTGATTTGTTGCAAAATTAAAAGTTATTTAGTTGTGCAGATGATAATTAAAACAAATTTACTAAATGTCTTTCTTTGATAGCTTGGAGGATAGAAAATCTTGTGCTATTTTTATAGAAAATGTAGAGAGAACCATTACACAATAAGATCATAAATTTTGAATTCAAGTGTTACCTGTAATTATAGATTAGTGTGGGTCATCATAACGAGATTGATTTTTTTTCGCGCTTGAGACAGTACGGCGAAAGTTGGAAAAGCAAACAAGTTTAGATGACCAATGGTAATCTGTTTATTGCTATTTTACCTATGATGACGTTAATTTCATTGAAAACGGCACATGCTCCCTTAGTTTCTAGCAATAATATTTCATATCACTCTACTGTGCTGAGAAAGGAAATTATCAGTCAGTAAGATCAAAGGAAAATTTCGTAAAATATCGATAATTATAGGTTTCTAAATCTAGAATCGAATGTTCAGTAGTTGTCATTTGTTGATGTGGTTTAAAAGTGTTTCTTGTTTATTGTTTTTTATATAGATTAGGCCGTTGGATTTCCCGTTTGAATGGTTTTACACTGGTAATTTTGGGGCCCTTTATAGCTTGCTGTTCGGTGTGAGACAATGCTCTGTGTTAAAGACCGTACTTTGACCTATAATGGTTTACTTTTATAAATTGTGACTTGGATGGAGAGTTGTCTCATTGGCACTCTTACCACATCTTCTTATATCTATTCATGACAAGTGAGAATGGGATATCGCTTGATATCAACTTGAGTTGTTTAATTTCAATATAACAATAAACGACCCTTTGGCGAGTTTATTATTCAGGCCATAATCTTGCCGGCGAAATGACGATTTAAGTCGCCAAAGAATTTTGAAAATCGCTAAATCTCGCCGGCCGACTGACTTCATAGCGAAGTCAAATCGCTATCAAAATCGGTAAAAGGGAGACAACTTGTGATTGACAAGTCTCACAGGTAAAAAAAATGGCGGCTGACAAGGAAAATCGAGATTTTCAAAACGACCCAGGACTAATACTATAAACGATCAAATTAGATAAATACAACGGCGACTTTGAACATCCTCGGTTATAACTTTCAAAACTGTTCAAACGGAATACTGACCGCCTGTTTAAGTTATCGTTTTACGATGATTTTAATCTGAGGATGTTGCGTAATCACTCAGCTGATTTGTTTTATTTTTATTACCTACACGAGTCGATCAATTTTACTTTACGGTAGGTAAAGGGTGGAAACTAAAGGTAGATTTATTATATTCATTGAATAAAAATTGAAATATAAAAGGTAGAAAGACAGCTGATGGATAATGTGATTGCAAACGTACGACACTCGACCAGATAGTAATCAGCAGTGGATTTTTTCTCATGACCACTTCGTTGATATGGATGATATTTTTTAAAAAATGATAGAAATTAGCTCTTTAACGGATAATTATTTTGCGATTGAAAGATATTTTTATTTATAGACTTACAATCTTTAACAATAATCTTAATTTTCAACTAACATAAATGTGCTGGACATTCAATAATGTTTTACAAAATAATGACAAGTTAAATTCCCAGTCATGTGAAATTCATCAGGTAAACTGGGAGTCATATTTTTCTGGAGTTTTAAAAATAAATTGAGGCAGATGCATATGAATTTAATGCATCATAATCTTGATAATATTACTAGGCTACTCCTTCATGTCCCAATCAACAAATTTTATTTAGAACACATTATGGTATCAATAAATAAATAACAACTATATATTGTCTAAACCTTTTTATTAAGAACTTTCTATATATATATATACATTGTGTACAATAACATATGAAAAAACTGCAAGTATATCTTTATTGAATATAACTTGAACAATTTCCTTAGTGATACATGTGATAAGCATGAAAACACGATGCAACCGAAACGGTAATGGAATCTCACTTCTCCAAGAAGTTGACCACTTCTCCCTTCTCTCTCATGGAAGGAGAAGTCACTTCTCCCTCTTCAAAATCCTAGATTAGGCCCTGTTATTACTATTTAAATTAAATAACGAGAGTTCATATCAAGCGATATCCAGTTCTCACAAGTTGTTAAATCTATTTCTCTTAGGGTCAACACTCTCATTGTGTTAAATTAAAAATTCAGCAAATCGTTGAACAAGCCTTTTGCACAATCCAGTATGACGTCATGTCCTTTTCTGGTGTCAAACTTTAACATCAGACATTTTAAGACTTTTTGCATGCGTCAGAATGTAATAAATTTTGAAAAAGAGAAGATTTCCAGGTGAAGTGTTTTGTATGTTATTGAAGAAATCACCTATGTCCTTTGCCATGGAAGAAATGTATATCGTCATACCCTTTGAAATTTATCAATGACCTAATGAATAACCAATTGAAATGCCGTATTATTGTCTTATGATGTTGGATAAGCCAAATAGATTCACGAAGATTTTCGTATCACACTCTGTGCAGTGTGATACGAGAAATATATATTCATGCAAGAAATAGATAACAAGTCACAACCATATATAAGAGAATAATATTTATCTGAAGGCATGGGAAAATGTGATTTCTTGATCTGCTTATCTTGATTCTATGAGTACTTAACTTTTCTGTTGGTATATGTTAAATTAAAAAAACACAAAGAAAGTGAATAAAATAATTTAGAAAAATTAGATTAATTTTTGCCCTAAGACCACTTGCTCCTTTTCAAAATGCAGGTCTTCCTCTATTAAAATGTATGATATGTTTTGTTCATTGTAAATTTACATATATGTCTTTATATTGTAAATTAATAGAACATACCTTGTATATTTATTTACTTTCAGTGGGAAAAGAATGAAAACTTTGCCTGATCCAAGTGAGGGCCTGACAGTTATTCAAGCAGGAAGTAAATAAATACTTACTTATTTAGGGGGGATACAGCGTGTGTCTGTGCTTCCATGGGGTACTGTGGATTCATATATACTCGTTGGATACCTATTTTCGTGGGTTTGGTGGGTACATGTGAACCACGAATTCAATGTTAAACAAATAACAAATTTTCTATAGGTTTTGTATGTAGAAATTGTCAAAACCTCAAAATCAAATACCTACGAAAATGCAAATTTTCCTCAATCCACGAAATTAAATGAATCAACAGTAAATGACTAAAATAAAAAGTCATTTTGTGAGAGTTGTTGGCAATACAACTAATTAAGGTAGCACTACAGTCTAACAATGATTTTTTGAAGATATTTTTTTTATCACATAATTTTGAAGTAAGTATTATTCTGCACAGTTTGTAAAAATCCCAAAGTCATTATCATATCACAACAGGGAGTAAATTGATAATGAACGTATGTAAATAAAAGCACATGTAATTAATCTAAATATATAGGCATTTGGGAGGGGCTAATATGTCAATCATCTGTTGATACCAGTGTCCAGCTGTTAATCCCTGACCACAAGATAAATATCTCATTGCATTGCAACAAAACTAATTTATAAAACATGGAAGTTTAGAACAGAGAAAAAGAAAAGATATGAATAGGAAAAAATTTAAAGGGCAAAAATCTACCAAAATGAAAAAAAACTATGGAAAAGAGTGTGAAAGTATCTTTGAAAGCCTCTGACTGCCTGTATAAATTTCTAGTCTTTGGTCTTCTACATGTAAAAATAATTTTAGGCATTTTAACTAACTTTAAGTTTATGTGAAATTTTTTAATTCCATGAAACTCATAAATCATGTTGGACAGTCTATTTTCAAGAAGGTGATGGTCTTGATCTTTTTATGGACAAGTATTTTAATTTTAATATTTTAGCTAATTTCAGTCATCATGGTCATATTATATTTCTTTTTAAAATTCAAATGAAAATTATTCTTTATAGTGAGAATAATGATGTTAAATATTAATTATGATGCAGCTGGCCAATCCTGTTATTCTCTTATCTTAGACTGTCTGGACAGAGGCGGAGCTTTGTCTTTATTTAATTACTACATCACAGATGTTGGTCAAATCTGTGACGTCAAACTCCCGCCAAATGCCAAGTTAGTGTTATACAGTGCACACAAAATGCAAATTTTACAGCATTAGAGCATCAAAGACACAATGTGTGTGGTTCTATTGATAAAGTAATGGTGTCAGAACACTCCTGGGGTGTTCCCAGTGGAATTTTTGTATTTATGTGGCATTTATAGGGGTTCTTAAGAGGAAATTCAGTTTTAAGGTCATTTCTCAGAACAATTTTTCATGAGAATTGTAAGGAAAAAATGAAAATAGAAACTTTATGGGTACCCCCTTTGGCTTGACTTTGATATATGTGATTGAAGGGAGTATTTTCTACAATACCGTGTCCCAGTTTTTGGATAATTTGTTTCTAAATGAATTTATAGCGCTCCAAAGATGAAAGGTGAAATGAGGTTTGGCATCCAGCAGTAAAAATAATATATCTTATTACTGGAGGCATATATCAAAAATCTGAGACACGGTTTTGTAGATTGTGAATGGTTGATTAAAGGGATGAAAACAAATTTTTACTACCATTTGACCTGAATGTGCCGTTTTCATCCAAGTTGGAAGACCATTTTTTTGGCAATTAATGAGCTATATTTTGAGATTAATCATACCAAAAATGAATTTATCAATAGATTAAGAAAGAGTTATATTTCAGCTTTAAAATGAGTTAAAGATTTTTAAAATCCATTGAGTAGTTTTGGAGAAATTAATCTTTAAAGACTGTTGGTTGGAGTCAGAAAATTCTGACTGTAGTGCTACCTTAAAGCTGATAAGATGACCATTCAGTTGTATGAAAATTTATTTAATATATTGCTGAATGCTGTCAAATATGTTTTTATACCTCTCACAAATCTTGTGGTATAAATTAAAAGAGTCTTTCCTTCTGTTTGTCCAACTAATATTTCCATTGCACTTTACTCAAGTACTGCTATAAAACAGAGTGAGATTATATTTGGTCAACAGGTTAACACTGATGAGTTGAAATGTCTTGAGGAAACTTTTAATAATGAGCAGGGATATGCTTAGCACAACAGTGCATGCCTTTTTGTATTGTCCTTGGACAGGTGCACCAGGAGAGAACATTGAAATGCAATACTTTTAATTGAATTAAGGTTTATAAATTATTTGCCTTTTGCATTTAAGGAAAGTGTTAATGTCAAATAAGATTTGTATGCTTTTGTCTTTCATGATTAAAAATTAATAGAAATAACATTCCTATAATGGTTTACTTTTACAAATTGTGACTTGGATGGAGAGTCATTGGCACTCGTACCACATCTTTTTATATCTATATATTCCAACTTCTTGACAAATTAACCACCGTTAATTTCTGTGTCATTTGGTCTCTTGTTGAGAATTGTCTCCTTGGCAATCATACCACATCTTATTTTTACACATACATATTAAAAAAAAGATGCCGTATGATTTCTAATAAAACAACTTTTACCAGAGTTTAAATGAAGTGGATTTAGCAATTTAAGGTTACTGTACCACCTTCTACAATGAGAAAAAAAAAAAAACCATACATATATTTAACTTTAAAAGCAGTAGATATAAAAACAATGGCAACCAGTTAACTACAAATTTGGGACAGGTACATAAAGAATGTGGCGGGGTTGAAGCAATTTTATACTCTATTCTAATATTTTAGCAACACTGAATGAGGAGCTAATTAGAGTTCTTGAAAGAGCCTCCACAAAACCAACAATAATTCAAGCTTGCCGTGAGAATGCTCAGGACTTAAATGAGGAAGATATGTAAGTTTTTAATTTCCTGATGTCCAAAAATCATATATAAGAACAAAACAATTTAAACTTGCCGTGGCTCAGACTTTAGAATTTAATAATATAACTTTTTTGATTGGATAAATCTAATAATTTATATTTATTGGCAATGTTTACCTTTTTCCTTTGATCTTACTACCTAATAATTTCCTTTCTAATTGTTATATAAACAATTGATTGACCCAGGATTATTAAGGAAACATTTTTTTATGCCCCACATAGGGGCATTATGTTGGTCTGTCTGGGTGTCCATTCATTCGTCCGTCTGTCCCACTTCAGGTTAAAGTTTTTGGTCAAGGTAGTTTTTGATGAAGCTGAAGTCCAATCTACTTGAAACTTAGTACACATGTTCCCTATGATATGATCTTTCTAATTTTAATGCCAAATTAGAGTTCACCCGAATTTCACGCTCCACTGAACATAGAAAATCATAATGCGTGTGGGGCATACGTGTACTATGGACACATTCTTGTTCTTTATGATTAAAAAAATGATTTCAATATTTGAATTAGTATTTCTAACTGAAAATGTGTCTCTTCCAAATTTGTTGACAAGAAAAGTTTACATAAGTTTACCAGTGATTTTGCTAGCGCTCGTCATTTTCGTCATTTACGAAACGGTTTTCAAAATGATGAAAGTATTCCAAATCAATTTCGTCACTTAAATTTGGAAAGAGTAAAAATATTTTCGCATGAAAATACTATAATTCTACCTGTCTTATTGTTTCTGACAAGTTTCTGACCCTCGGCTAATTAACATTTCCAACATGTGTTATAAGTTGTGATTACAGATAATCCGCTTATCGCCATCGTATGGGTCACTAATCCGTTAATTATATATCAACCCCATAATTGATCATAATAATTATTTTCCCCAGTAAAATCAGTCAGTCAGCATTTCAATTTCAATATTTATCAAACGAGCACAATTTGCAGTTCGTTTGTCGTAGTTTCGTCATTTGAGTTTTCCCGCGGACAGTTCGCATTTTAATTTCAATATTTCTCAAACGATCTCAATCTGCAGTTCGCTTGTTGTAGTTTCTTCAAATGAATGTATTTTCGTCATATTTGATATAACTTTTAAATAAAAACTTTCTACAATTTCGATTTAAAAGATAGCACTTTATTCATAACATTCAGAAATGTTTTCACGAGTCTAACAGGTGCTTCCTTTACGATGAACTGCACATGCGCGAAAGTATGTATTTAAAGACACTAAAACGTAAAATACGAAATAATTAAGTATCAAACTAAACGAGAGAGACAAATATAGTTCTTTTTTAGCAAATTTAATTTAAAAAATGATAATTTCCTGTCTTTTTTAAAAAAAACCAATCCGTATATGAGTCCGGATTCATTCTGAATTTATTATCCACTTGTCACTTCCCGTTTTCATATCATTTGGAAATAGAAAGTAAACGTGATCTATTCATGATGAATTTACAATTTAAAATCATTAGAATTGTTCCAATAAGGATTTGTACAAATCCTTGGTTCCAACTTGATAGAATTAATTCTAAATATCGCTTTTAAACGTTTTTAAGGATAATGAGTATGAATAATGCAGTGAAATAGTCCTTACAAGTTCATTTTTGCTGTGATTCCTGGTTTAAAAAAAAAATGAATCCAAACTTTTGCTGATTAGGAATGTACCCTGAAACTAACTGAAGTGAAATTGTGCACTAGATTTCTAGATCTTATATCCTAATCTTCGTATTAAAGTGCCACATCAGTCAAATCATGCAGTAACTGCCTAGTATGCCTAAGTCCTTCAAAGTCTGACAAAGATGTATAGATAGTAATATACATTCTAGGTCCCTTGCTGCTAACCAAAATAAGGTTGATTTTCATCCCGCGCAAAAATGACTAAAGCCCTCAAAATCCTAGCTTAAACCCTGAGTTTACCTACATATGTCAAAAAATTGGAAGGGAAACATTTTAAGTATATATTGAAGACCCCTACAAGAAAAATTAACTTACCCACCTTCAATATACGCTCAAGTTAACCAAGGTTTTGAATCAACTCAGTTTGACCCATCACAGTCAGGAATGCATTAAACCAGAGACATATATGTCTCTGATTAAACAAATGGAAATTTTACTGAGGCTCAATAGCAGTTTGACAGTACATTAAATAGTTGTCATTATTTCTGCAATATTTTTGAGAGAACTTGCAACTTGCTTATTTTGTCAAAATATATGTTATTTTGATATTTAAATAATTTTCTATATTGTTTAATTTCAGGAAGAACATTGGTGATTTGTGTAGAAGCTGTAAACATGATAAAATACTTGTAACACATGGGACTGCTAAAGTAGGGACATCTGCTGAATTTCTTGCAAAACAGGATTTACATAAAACTATTTTACTAGCTGCAGATAACCTTGAACTTGAAGCTGATTTTAATGTTGGATTTACACTTGGAGTATTACAGTGTTTATCTGACAGAGATATTTATATTATTAGAGATGGAAAATTGATTCATTGGTCAAAAATGTCACATGATATAGCCTAAGCATATTCATTGGTTCAAAGCTGATTGTCAAATGATACAGGATAAGCACAGTCATTGGTTCAAAACTGATATTTACTAGATACAGCCTCAGCAAAGACGATTGTTGCATGATACAGGATAAGCAAATTCATTGGATCAAAGCTGATAGTCAGATGACACATACTGATTATGCCACATTATTACATTCTTCACACAAACATAGATATGAATTTTTACATAATACAGACCAAACATGTTATAAATTAGATGTAAAAAGTCACAAGCACAAATTTTTCATATCAGTTCTTATTTTTTTAATTACAAAAACAAAGTATTGCATTATCTATAGAATCATCAAAGAGGAGGAGAGGATAAGTCTACTTTTGATTAAACATTTGAGCAGACACTAAGTGGCAGAAAGTGCCACGAAATATAGATCTGAGTACATGATTCAATGTTGATTAAAATATAACTTGCATGACCTGAATTAGTATATAAATTGCATTAAATACTGCTATTACATTGATTACAATGAATTAGTGTGATTTAGTAAAATAAAAACAAAAAAACAAAAAAACGGATAATTTCATTCCTCTGACGTCATCCAATAATAGGCATTCCATTCTCAATTTTATTTTATTGTCAGTGACATATCATCTAAACAAAATGGGAATGGGTAGAAAAGATATAGTTCCTTGTGTTTTATTCTTTATTTCCATTAAAAAGCCCATGTTGAGTTGTACTGATTAAGCGATTTTTACATTTACCTTGAAGCAGCTTTCTGTTTGCCCATAGTTTGAAATTTTTAAACATCATTGTACAATGAAATGTTTTCGTCAAAGTTTTCATGGCTTTTATGAAAGGGAATAATTTCAAAATAGAGGCGAGAGATACCAAAAGCAAAAATAAACTCAACGCAATGGTAAAAAAAGGAAAAAGCCCAAAAGACACAAAAAACATACATATCAAAATACTGGGCAAATTGAATGCCACCAAAAACCGTGAGTGATCTCAGGTGCTATTGAAGGGTAAGCACATCCTGCTCCACATGTGGCACCTGTAGCATTGCTCATTTAATTACAAACCTTGTGATAAGTCTTAAACGGTAGGTTTCATTTGGTCTACACGTAAGCTTGATAATGTTGAGTAGTGGTTGTAAGTAATTTTTGTCTCGCCTTCGTCTATTTCAAGGCCCTGCTCTCTAAGTCATGATCCAGTGACTTTGAATTAATAAGCAATTTCAATGTCTAGTTTTCTGCTTAAGTTAGTTTGATGGGAACTACTTGTGATAGATCAATTATAGTTTGTATGAAGTCGCAATAATATAAGTTCAACGACTATTTTGAGGCCATTGCCCCATGAACATTGTCCGGTGGCTTTGAATTAATTTGCAATTTTCAAAGTTTAGTATTTATGTCAAGCCTCCAACTTCTGTTGCAGAAAGCTTGACATAGGTATAGTGATCCGGCTACGAAGGCATTAGCTTACTTCTTAAAAGCTTATATTTTAGAAGGTGGAAGACCTAGATGCTTTTTATACAGATGCCTCATGTTATAAGTTTCAGTCTGTCATATGTCCATTGTCCTTGACCCCATTTTCATAGTTCAGTGAATACTTGAAAAAAGTTAAGTTTTTCTGTCATGTTGATTTCTTTCTTATATGAGTAATAGGATAACTTTATTTAGTATGTGCTACTTTGCAAGGTCCTCAAGCCAGTCGGACGTCATTTCATGGATCAGTGAACAAGGTTATTTTTTCTTGGTCAAGTCCATACTTTCAAATACTATAAGCAATAGGTATACTAAATTTGGTGTATGGAAATATTTTATGATGTACATGTCAGTCTCACAGGTTTTATTTTACCTTGGCCTCATTTTCACGGTTCATTGCTCAGTGTTTTTTGTGTTTTGGTCTATAGGCAATAGGTCAACTAAATTTGTTGTATGGAAGGATTGTAAGGTGTATATGTCTGTGTGGCAGGTATCATCTGGCCTTGACCTCATTTTCATGGTTTATTGGTCAACAATAAGTTTTCATGGTTAAGTTTGTTTCTTAAAAACTATGCAAAAGGTCAACTATATTTAATACATTGATTGTAAGGTGGACATGTCTGTTTGGCATGGTTCATCTGACCTTGACCTCATTTTCATGGTTCATAGGTCAATGTTTAGTTTTCTTATTTAAGTCTGTTTCTTAAAACTATACAAAAGGTCAACTATATTTGGTGTATTCAATGATTGTAAGGTGAACATGTATTTCATGTTTGGTTTATCTGACCTTGACCTCATTTTATTAGACCATGTTAAGTTAATGTGATACTTTTAGTAAAGCTTTATATTTAGGACTATCAACATAAAATCAATGGTAAGTTAAGAAGACGAGACATTTCAGCATGTTCACTCTTGTGCTTAAGTTAGTCTAGATTGAAAGGTACTTCTTACATCTTACATTCTTACATGTGTACATCTCAGTTTGTCGAACATTCTCAGGCCCTGCCTACTAGACCACGGTCCAGTGACTTTGAATTAATAAGCAATGTTGCTGTCCATCAAATTGTCTTTTTCTGAACTTTATGCTGACAGGCCAAAATCAACACTCATTGTCCAAGGAAAGTTTTCCTTAATGGCTTCTGTGAAAGTGATTGATTTGAAATTTGTTAAATGAATTTTACATCTTTCCGTTTGCTTGTTTTCATGACATTCAAAAACTTTTCTTGGCTCCTTTTGAAGAAAATGATTTTAACATTTGGTCTGGGAAATATTGGTTATGCTCCAGTATACATGCTACCTCAATCAATTGCATGCAACGACGCAGATCCAGACCTGGTATTGGTCTTGTTTTTCAATGTAATATGGATATGTAAGTGTTTTGTCTCACCTTGACAGAGTCAAAAAGGGAGACATAGGTATGCTGTTTCCGGCGTTGGCGGCGGCGACGTCAACAATGTATTAGTTTGTGATTAGGTCTAGTTCATGGTGAACCACTAGTGGTAGGTCAATGATATTTGGTATGCAGTTGTATTAGCATTGGCACATCTCATTACCATGGAGATTATTTAGGTCAGTTTATTGGGAACCACTAGTGATAGGTCAATGATATTTGGTATGAAGTTGTATAAGCATTGGCATATCTCATTTCCATGGAGATCATTTGGCCCCGCCCCCTCATTCATGGTCTATTGACTTTGAAACTTTTGCTTAGTTTTCATGTATTAGTTTGTGATTAGGTCAGTTTAAGTGGAACCTTTAGTGGTAGGTCAATGATAATTAGTATGCAGTTGTATAAGCATTAGCACATCTCATTTCCATGGAGAATATTTGGTCCTTACCCCTCAGTCATGGTCTATTGACTTTGAAACTTTTGCATAGTTTACATATATTAGTTTGTGATTAGGTCAGTTTAAGATGAACCACTAATGTCAATAAGTAAATTATATTTGGTATGCAAATGTATTGGCATTTGCAAGTTTCATTTCCATGGAGATTATATAACCCCACCCCCTAATTATGGTTCATTGACTTTGAAACTTTTACATAGTTTACATGTCAATGTTTGTGTTTAGGTTTGTTTAAAGGGAACGACTTATGAAAAGTCAATGGTATTTGGTTTGCAGTTGTATTAGCATTAGCACATCTCATTTCCATGGAGATTGTTTAGCTCTGTACCTTCAGTCATGGTTCATTGACTTTGAATATTTGCATAACTTACATGTTAAAGTATTGCTATTTTAATTTCAACATTTGCATTATCAAAATAACAAATAGGTGAGACATATCTCTGTGTTAACAGTTTATTTTTATTCGGTTCACATATACCAATACAACCATAAGCTCTTGATAGCTTTTTACCAAACATAAATAACATGTACATCACATTAAAACACAAAACATGTAGATAGATATATACAAGTATTTAAGCAGCAAATTATTTCAAATGAATAGAAACGGCAAAGGCGTATTGAATCATGCAAAGCATTACTAAACTACACGTCTGAACATGCCAAAACTGAAGCATAACTAAAAATTGAAGCACAACTAAAATTTAAGGCATAATGCAAACATTTAGAGCATTTACTAAAAGTATAAAAAAGCTTATCTTCATGCAGAACAACAGCATTTGAACCATTCCAGGACTATAAGGCTCTTAAATTGAGAAAAACTATTTTCAGTCCTGAATGGTCAGGTAGGCTGTTCCACATATCAGCAGCTGCAAATTTAAAACTTTTCTTACTAAACTGTGTAGTTTTTACATGTGGAATATCCAGTATAATATCTGAGACTACTATGTTATAGTAGTCTCAGATAATATATATCTGAAAGAACATGTAGTACTACAATCTTTTACATTTAATAGATCATGTAAACAGACCGGTGGTAATTTATTAAGTATTACCTTAACTTCTTTCCCATAAATACATAGGCTTAAATAAAATAAAACAATATATTCATATTGCCGATAACCCAGACAGCTTGAAGGACACGGGATTTTAATAAATTGACGAATACAATAAAGTAAGCATAAATACATAAATAAATCATTACAAAAATAAATGATGACTGAATGCTGATATGCTGTATTATTAAGTTAAATACCAAATAGTGACAAAGTCTCTATCATCAACGATCCCGCCGGCCAGGAACAACCAACTAAAACGAGTTAACTCGGTCAAACTACATTAAATATTAAATATGTAGTGGAAAAAAGTTGGAAACCTGTGTCCAAACCCAATGCTCGGAAGACCGTCTCAAGAGGTATACTTGGACAGTATAAAAAAATAAATAAAAAATTTTGATATCTATAATTATTCGAAACAAACACAACTAATCATGAGCAAAAACATGAATTAAAACTAAAAAATGTTACATATCTGAAATATGTAAAAATAAATTTGACACTACGACTATTCTTTGAAACGCGGGAAAATGTAACTATATTAAAAGTATCAATTGCCATTGATCTTTGTCTTTTCATATGCAGTTATATAAAGATCTTGCGACAAGTTTACTGTCAATTAAATAGGGTTTCTCCTTGCATTTTCTTTTTATATCATACCGGATCTACATATTTAGACCTGAGTAATAAGAATAAGAATAAGAATATTTATTATTCCAATCAAGGCCCCCTGATGGGCAGCATAACATGTACACATAAAACAATACATCATGATTTGTAACAGAAAACATTTTTATATATTAAAATGAAACATTAAAAAGTTCAGACAGATGTTATTATCTTACTCAGTATGGCTTTGAATTGTCCGTATAAGATTGATACTTTATATTTCCTCTCTTTGGTGTCTTTCGAAATATGTTTAATCCTGCGCACGCTATTGGAGAGTGCCATGTTCTTTGCATTAAAAAAAATTCTGGTGATAAATCTTTGACGCCCTTAAGAGGCCTGTTACAAAACATTTTTTTTTCTCAAAAAAACGACGGTGCAAGAACCTCATGGGTTGTCAAGGTCGTTAAAAACCACCCTCGTCGAAATGATCACAATATTTAATTTTATCTTCCATGCAACACAAGCCGAAAAACAGACTATTTTAGCAATTTCAGAGATTTATTATTTCTAAAGAAAATATAGAAAATATGCATAAAGTGGCCGTGCAATTTTGATGTATTTCCATATTGTGCGGGAAATAGTTGCATTGGGGAAAAAATGGCTGTATGTATACGTATTGTCAACTTTTCGTTTGGTGGTGGTGGTGGAGGGATTGCAATGATCCGAAACTTCCTCAGGGAAAATGAGATCATGCCAGTTTAAAAATGGCTTTATAACACCCGTCGACCTACTTTGCAGAATGTATATATTTATTATATAGAAAATAAGAGTTCTGTATTCTAATTAGATTGGAGGGCATGTACCAAGTTCCAAGTCGGGAATATGACAGTTGTTTCCCATTCGTTTGATGTGTTCGAGCTTTTGATTTTGCCATTTGTTAAGTGACTTTCCGTTTTCGAAGTTTCCTTGAAGTTCGTTATTTGTGTTGTTTTACAGTTTAACACTAGTATTTCGTTCATAATTCCAGAAAAGTTTAAAATTTAATATGTTTTTATTATCAATTTCAATATCAAATTTGATAACATGCAATATTGTAATTAAACAGTTAAAATTTTTTATCTATACATTATTCCTACATTCGAAGTATTATATACCCTCCATTGTTGACTAGTACACAACGTACACCATGAGAGCTCTTTGTTTTATTGTGGTTGCACTGGTTATGAGTTGCTTTGGTCATAAGACAGATTCTGGATTGTGTACACCAAAACTTGGTATGTTATATCGTTAATTGAAATTGATTAAATTTAAGGCAATACATATCTAAATGATGTTTAATTGAAGCAAAGGAAAACAACACGCTATAAACTGCGTGGTTTCGAAGGTCTTTTCTAAATTCACCTTCATCAGAAAACCAAGGATGCTGTATAAGAACCGAAAGATTTAAAGAGCAATATGACTAAAAAGGTAACATAATAACAAAATCTACATAAGGCCAACTTTGATAATGTTAATTTTATCATGCAGAGCAAAACAATATTTTTTGTAAAATTTGACAAAAGTTTATATAAAATCAAAGTACTGACGTACTGTCTACTCGGATGACCTCATGATCTGTTGAGTCTTTACGATAGGACTTTAATCTTGCTGTAATACTGACTGTACTGTTGTGATAATTTAATTATTTGCTTCATCTGACTATCATTATAATCTGGGTTGCTGCTTTTTATCATATCAGTATAAGTAGAACAATAATGGTTTAGCAGAAAATATAAGGGAAGGAAGACACATTAGACATAACAATTTCTTTGCTGCCATTAAAAACAAAGCAAGGATTTGTATAGCGAGACTCAAATCCTTGAACAGAGTTACCGATCATATCACGCGTCTAAAATATTTGTTGTTGTGAATCTTCTACTAACGTACTACACGTGCAATACCACATGCATACATGTACCTGTTCATGCGCATGGCAAATACGTGTTCTTATATCGACGACACGAAACATTTCATAGTAAAAGTACTATATAGGGATAGGAAGTTGACCAAAATCAGATTTTTTTATATTTCCCACTCCCACACACAAAACAACCTTAAATTAGGTTTGACAGAAATTGTTGAAAGCATTGCTTTTGAATTATGTATATACCGGTTTTTTCCTTTTTTTCTTTCTTTAAACAGAAAACGCCCTTTTCGAAGACCTTCTTAGCATGATGTTGAAGATAAAAGGAACACAGAAAGGTAATGATATGGGCTGCATCTAGTATATCGTGTTTAACAGAACTTTTAAGGTAGATTAACTGTGTAAGTTATTTATTGCATTATTTAGACTACTTATTATTATTTTTAATGCTTAGCAGTGTTTTTAAACCACATGTCAAAGTTATGTTTTCAGTAAAGAACTGGGTTCAATCTATGTTATTTAATACTTTTCTAGATTCGGGACAATTGAAAGCTTGACATAGTGGCTGTACCCATATTTAGTGTGAATACCCGTACGTTAACCCGAAGATGTCTTTCGTGTTTTTCCGTGTTGAGTCACTATCTCGTTTCAGCCATAAGCTCGAGGTATTTATGTCTTGTTAAAACTGCTGTGAAACATTTTATACGCCTTTGCTAAATCAGGGTAAACAGCTCTAATAATTTTCTTTATTTACAGATTATGTGACCTTTCAACTTAAGAGTATGTGTTTGTAATTTAAAACATTCAAGGGTTTTTATACATGAGTTCATGCATGTTTTAAAAAATCTCATCTGACCATTTGCTATTTCTATTTCTATACGTTTTTGTAGACAAGTATTTAGGTTTTTTCAACAGGGTCTTATTTTGTAATTTCTGTGCAGGTACGAATCAACATGACGAAACATTTTCAGCCTTTGCAGCTTCTTTAACTGTTTTAAAAACCCTGGGAACTGGTGAAATTGTAAAGTTTGACAAAGTTTGGACGAACGTTAATAATGATTATAATCCAAGTACGGGTGTATACACAGCTCCTAAACCAGGGGTGTACCAGTTCTCATGCTCCGTAATGACGCAATATAATAAAGCCGTTCGTGTGCTCCTATGGAAAAATGACATGAAGACAGTAGCTGTTTATCCTGGTCCTAACAATGTTGGTCATAATACGGGAACTATAAATATGGTATTAGAACTTAAGAAAGGTGACAAAGAATACATCAAACAAGGAGCAGCAGAGAAATACATCTACAGTGAATCTGCTTACAACTACAGTATGTTTTCTGGATATCTTATTCGATAAATTACATGTGTTTTTTCGAAGTTTTAAATAAAACAAATAAATGTTGTTGGTTGCTTGTTTATTTCTCCATTGAATGTCAAGGCCATTTTCAGGTAGGCATTGCAACTAATCCTCATTATAAATTCACTATTTCAGAATCTTAAATATTCTTATGAGTATCTATTCAAATCGTTACTCATTACGTAATGGTGGATAATACCGCCTTAACAAAGAAACCAATGGATATATGACCCGTTGAGTGAAAATGGAATTGAACCCGTAAGATTGTCAATTCAAAACTCATTCTCAGCTCACCTGACTGAGGCCAGTTAAGCTTTTGCCATCACTTTTAGTCAGTCGTCTGTCGTCCGTCCGTCGTAGTAAATCTGTTTTTTTTTTATCTTCTCTGAAATTACTACACCAAATGTTACTAAACAGCATCTCAATATATCTTGGGTATTAATCAACAAATATGGTCACTGTTGCTAAAACAAATTGGGTGCAAATGCAGTTTTTGCTTGTATACCAACAAAACTGAAAAAAAACCAGTTTAAACAAATCTTACTGGAGTAAAACTAATCAGCTTATTATTGTCTATCACCTATAAAAAAAATAAAAAATCGTACAATCCGTTCTAGAGCCCCTGAAATCTTAATTATTATTAGTCTATTATAAACATAAAATCTAGTGACATTTTATGTTTCTATATAGTTAAATGTTTAGTATAGACCATAGTCTCTGATCCATTTTTAATGAATTTTTCCGTGAAAAAAGTGTCGAGAAAAATCTTTCCTTCGTGCATTACTGACAAAATTACATGACCTATATTCCCTTTGTTTATTCCATCAGCAGTGTCATTTAACAATAAATACTAGAACAAGCCCCTAAAAATGCAGCGGCAATTAATAAAATAATACCACGAAAGACAGACGGACAGACAAAAAGAGTAAATATATGAACAAACACACAAAACGTTTAGGATGAAATTTGAAAAAAGCAGGACTGGAGATTTGAGTAAAAAAAGGCAGGATGAGCAACTTGGCAAAAAAAAAAGGCAGGATACCAATTTACGTAAAAAAAGTCAGGATAAACTAATAAAAAGAGTGAAAAATAAAAAGTCAGGACAGAGGTTACAATTAAAAAAAATGCAGGACAATATTTTTCATCCTAGCCTCCCCCTAAAAATCAAATGGTAGCTTCCTTAGTCGCTATTGGTGATGTCACGAATGAAAAACGTATCCGGCATGGCAGACTGAGATGGAGTAATTCATTAAACAGTTGAATCTTTACTTTATGTGCAATTTATAGATTATGTGATAATACTTATATCTGAATGATGATTCCTGTCAAAATGTATAACGGTCAAAATGTAGAACTGTCAACATGAAGAACGGATTTTCCGATGTTCGGTTTGCTTCATTCTTTAAGCTCGTGTTTATCGCCACTTTCAACACTATTGGCTATTTCTTGGCGGTCAAAATATATTGAAGAGGAAGTCGGAGTGCCTGTGAATTTTTTTTCCAACTGACTGTCGAGAATTCATTTGAAATATCAACTTTGCTTGTGTATCAACCCCAAATTATCCATTTAAGTACCACTTCCGAGGTCCGTGCCTTGTGACAAGAACAGGTTGCGTTGTTTATCTCATTCTCATTTTTGAGATCTCAATCCTCTCTTTTAAGCTCACCTCGCCCAAAGGACCAAGTGAGCTTTTCTCATCACTTGGCGTCCGGCGTCCGTCGTCGTCTGTCGTCAGTCGCCCGTCGTCCGTCGTTAATTTTTACAAAAATCTTCTCCTCTGAAACTACTGGGCCAAATCTAACCAAACTTGGCCACAATCATCATTGGGGTATCTAGTTTCAAAAATGTGTCAATTTTTAACAATGTTTCGTAAATGTTTGTAATCTAACAAAAATCTTCTACCGAGACAAATTTAACCAAACTTAGTCACAATCATCATTAAGGGATTTAGTTTAAGAAATGTGTCCGATGACCCTGCCTGCCAATCAACATGGCATACATGGCTAACAATAGAACATAGGGGTAAAATGCAGTTTCTGGCTTATATCTCTGAAACCAAAGCATTTAGAGCAAATTTGACATGGGTAAAAATGTTTAACAGGTTAAGATCTATCTGTCCTGAAATTCTCAGACGAATCAGACAATCCGTTGTTTTGTTGCTGCCCCTGAATTTGTAATTTTAAACAAATTTTGCAGATTTTATACGACCGCAAAAAATTTTGCAGTCGTATATAATTGGTATCACGTCGTCGTCGTCGTCTGCGTCGTCCGAAGACATTTGGTTTCCGGACAATAACTTTAGTATAAGTAAATAGAAATCTATGAAATTTAAACACAAGGTTTATAACCACAAAAGGAAGGTATGGATTGATTTTGGAGGTTATGGTCCTAACAGTCTAGGAATTAGGGGCCAAAAAAGGGCCCAAATAAGCATTTTTCTAGTTTCCAGACAATAAACTTGTGGAACGGTGTATGAATCTCTCTGAAATTATACCACAAGTTTCCATACCACAAAGGGGTGGTTAGGATTGACTTTGGGGGGTTATGTCTCAAACCGTGCAGTGTAAGGGAGATAATCGAAACACATTTAAAATACAATGTTGTGTATTTTTGGATTACCTCCCTTACACTGCTTTTAAATTATGTATAAAGAAATGTTGTATTGTCTTGAGGTGATTAGCTGTCAATTAATTTTAGAAGTTACTATTAAAGGAATATTAATTTTAGCCATAATTATGTATGTCATTTTCTATTTTAAGACTTTTATGATGTATTTAAATGGGTAATTATGGTTGCAAACTCCATTGGAAATTTGTTGAATTGAGATTATGACAATATCTTGAGGGAAAGAATTTTTTTTTTTGGAAAAAGGGGGGAGGTGAAAAAAAATTGTGGGGGTGGGGGTAAAAAAGAAATTGTGGGGGGACAATTTTTTTTCTCATTTCAGAAATTAAAAAGAAAATTTCTTCAAATTTTATTTTTTTTGCAAGAAAAAGGGGGGGGGGGGTGTCAATACGCAACAGCATAGTGTATTGCACAAAAGCAAAACATTGAATATAAATTCAAATCATATAACCAATTCTAAGTTCTTTAACTACAGTTATTCTGTGTCAGAAACCTATTATGTGTCAGATATTTAATAACAATCAAAATTCAGACCTGTATCAAGCGCGAATATTGTGTCCATTTTTGCCCCAACTGTTCAGGGTTAGACCTTTGCGGTCGTATCCAGCTGCGCTCAGCGAAGCATTTTATTGGTTATTATCTTGAATATTATTATAGATAGAGATAAACTGTAAACAGCAACAATGTTCAGCAATGTAAGATCTTCTAATAAGTCAACATTACCAAAATGGTCAATTGACCCCAAACGGAGTTATTGCCCTTTAAAGTCAATCAATAATTTTTCCTAAATTTTAGTAATCTTTTACAAAAGTCTTCTCCTCTGAAAAAAATGAGACAAATTTAACAAAACTTGGCCACAATTATCATTAGGGTATCTAGATTTAAAAATGTGTCCGATGACCCTGCCTGCCAAACCAACATGGCAGACATGGCTAAAAATAGAACAATGGGGTAAAATGCAGTTTTTGGCTTATATCTCTGAAACTAAAGCAAAAGTATTATGGTTGCATTATTTAATGTATCAATTGTAAATAAAAATATCAGGTGAGCGACACAGGCTCCTTGGAGTCTCTAGTTTGTTCGGTGCATTAATGGAAGAACAATAGGCTACAAAAGAACATACTCTAGAAATGAGTACAGTTGAAGCAAACTGACAAGATCAACGCTTTTGCAAATTTGCAGATTTAACATTGTTGTGCTGATATTTAGAGTAGTTATGAATATAAAATGTGTTTTCAGTCGTGTATCACCTTCACTGGTTATCGAATGGATGGATCTGTCGTATAGTTGTCACTTGCATTGTTTAGACATACTTATCAAAATGATTATTTATTTGACTGTATCTTACGAACTTTACGATAGATATCTAGCTAATCTGCAATCAATTCCATCTTCATGCATAATGTATCATGTACTGTGTTACAACTCTAGATTTTACTGACGAGGACAGGTAACACTATGCCACCGAAAACTGAATTTTTAGTTCAGTCTAGGTGGCGAGTGGATTAGAGCGATGGACACAGTGCAGGCGGTGTTGCTTCGATATCCCAATATCATAAGTTCGAATCCTGGCGAGGGACGAACAAAAATTTGCTTCCGCAAATTTGCAGAATTATCATTGTTGTGCTGAAATTTAGTATGTAAACATATATATACTGATCAACCTACTTTCAAGTCTGATCGTTCTGTTTAAGCTTAAATGAGATTAAGAGCTCATTCCCTTGAAATAGCTAAATAGAGGGACAAATATTATAACAGAATGGTAAGAAATGAAAGATTTTGTAAAGTGTGTACACACAACAAAGTTGAAGATGAAGAATCTTAGATCATCACTTTATTTGGCATTGCCTTAAATATCAAACGGAAAGAGAAATCCTTGTGACAAAATTGTCTAATGTTACCAAAATTAAAAAAATATACATGTCATGTATAAAAATAGGATAAAGACAAAACTCAAAGATATGTTCAAATAACATTTCCGAATTGTTGAAAGTTAGAAATAATGTTTAACAAAACCATTACTCATACAAATATACAAATATTTTATAAGCACAAATTTAAACTCATCAACAATATTAAAATGGTTAAGGCTCATGGTATATTAATTACATAGTTGATCATACATAATAAGTATTGTAAATAATGACTATATTGTAAATAAAATATGTAATATTAAATATCATTGTTTAGAAAGTATTGATCCATTAGTTAACGAAATATTGTATTTTGTATTTTATGTACTTAATAGAGCCTTTTACCATGTTTACCCCGGGCTTTTACCAATGCGTGTGTGCCATTAAAATATCTAGTAAAATATTGACTTTTGTCTATTGTCTTTAATCATTTTACTTTTTACCACAGTAAGTTTGTTTGTGATGATATATTTCCACTTTCATTGTAGTTTACCTGTGTACTATCGACCTTTAACTTACACTTGTTACTAATTTTATCATTTGGCAGTAGTATAAACATATGATAAATACACATATAAATAATCGATAAAACATAATACGGTTAGTTTGATATGTCGGAACAAAGTGTAAATGTCGATTTAGCGAAAGAAAGATTGAATGCAACGTTTGATGTGGAAAACTTAACAAATTTGATCTATGGTGGACCTGAAAAGGTCGAACGCAGAAGACAAATACGTAAGTATCAACACGAAGCTTGAAGTGAAGTTTTTAATAAGTTCAAAATGTAGGACGAACTCAGATATTATGTATACAAGTAAATAACTAATGGCAATACCATGAATACGTTAAACAGCCGTATCAACAAAAATTCATGCGTCTTTTATCATAACGAACAGTATCAATTGTATTGTTTACTTTATGAGTAACATCAGACTGAGCAAGATTAGACCCTCCCCTTTTTCTTCGATATTTGAAAAATCACGTAATTCTACGAATAAAATAGACTGAAAGTTCAAACCACCTCATTTCAGATATCCATACTCGTCCTTTAAACAAATCACGAATGTATATCGATCGATCAAGGATTGTGAATCGTTTACTAATTGTTTATATAATATATTGTTTACAACCAACGGGGGGGGGGGGGGGGGGGGGGGGGGGGGGGGGGGTCTCTTCCTATATGAAGGTATATACATATGTGCCGCTGGAATGGGTCCCTTTTTTGATACGTCAAATATATCAATGGGTGCAATTTTACCGAGGAAATATATCAATAGGTAGTAATTGACCAATTGTGATATATCAATGACATCAATGGGTCATAATTTTTCAGTTTGTTGTGCAACGATCTTCACTGAATTTCCAGAACTCTTTGTCATTAAAATTTCCACATCTGCTGAAACTTATTGACACAAGTTTTGTTATTGATCAAATTTTATTACACTGTCACAATCAATACTCTTTACCCACTAGAGTGTAGTAAAAAAAGGTCACATATCGAACCTTTTACACTTATTGAGTTACACATAGATCTATTTGCACTAATTTTGTTGTTGAATATATGAATGGGTTATGATTTCGCTGTGAATGAAATATATGTATAGGTTGGGATTTCACAATTATTCAATATATGAATGGGGGTGTTTTTTTTAAATCCCAGCTGCACAACTGTGTGTACCCAAAATCCCATGTTGAGACCCCCCCCCCCACCCCCCCCCCCCCACCCCCGTGTTTACAACATATTAGTACACCATGAACCAACGACAACCACTCAACTACAGGACAGGCACATACAGAATGTGGCAGGGTTAAACATGCTTGTGAGCGCTCAACCATCCCCTAAACCTGGTACAGTGATGTAAGAGCACAACGTAAGAACAAACTATAAAAAGGGCTTAATTCATCAAGAAATACATCTAACAAAACACAAACTGAAGTGGAAGTGGACGGGTGTTTGTACAGATATAAGAGTACTTGCAGTTACTGACAGCTAGTTCAAAGCCAATAACAATTAATACAAAAAGTAATTTATCTAAGGCTGGAGTATCAATCAATACACAACCAACATCCTATGGATTTAGTGTAAAGACGTTATTAACAGTAAAAAAAACTTGTGCAATGCCAAAAAATATAGGTATCGACAGATTGTAGTATCGTGAAAAGTACATATGCGTATAGCAATGATATTTAGTATAGTTTTAAAACTGCTGAAAACAACATCAATGCATTTACCAATAAAACAAAATTCAAAGATTTAATTACAGTGTTGAAATGGTAACCTTTAAGAATAAATTTATTCTAAGGATTGATAAGTTAAACAGGATCGTATTTAAATTCCTGGGCTTGGTTTAAGCCTTGTATCTATGATGAGTTTTTTTGGCATATGAAAATAACGAAGAAAACATATTTTGTATTTATATTTGGTATTTACATTATGAAAATAAAATAATATTGTACAATAGACTATTACTTTTTTTTTGCAGATAAAGTTGCAAGTGAAGATCCGTTTTACAAGAAACTGAAGCCATGGTCTTACTGTAGCGTTGAAGAACAATATGAAAACGGTTTAGCCAAACATAACCACATAAAAGAGAGTATAGACAAGTTAGAACTCAATGGCTTTGACGATCTGTATTATTATAAATCGTAAGTTTGTACTAATTCGTTATAACCATATAAAGGAGAGTATAGACAAGTTAGAACTCAATGGCTTTGACGATCTGTATTATTATAAATCGTAAGTTTGAACTAATTATATCCCAAACTTTCTATGATCTACGATTCCGGATGTACATGTATTAGGCTTTGAACCAGTAACTGCAAATTATATATCTTCATACACTAAGTTCAGTGCTGTGTCCTATTTGGGTGAGATGAGTCAAGCAATTTGTTCGTATGTTGTTTCTTTACACAATTGTCGGAGTTTAGAAGAAGTGTTTGACGAATGCTCACACACATATTTAACCCTGCCATATTATTGTTTGTCTATCTCTATAGTATCCAGGAGCCTGTTATACAGTGATAGTCGTTGATTGCTGTCTGTCTATCTCTATAGTATCCAGGAGCCTGTTATACAGTGATAGTCGTTGATTGCTGTCTGTCGTAATACTGGTTTTGTGTGTGTGTGTGCAGTTTTGTAGTTAAAATTGTGTCATTGTGTCTTAGCCTGTCCTAATTCAGGAGCCTGAAATACAGTGATTTTCGTTGATTGCTGTTTGCTTGATTTTGTTTTTGTTTTTCTTAAGTACAAATCAGGCCTTTGCATTTCTCCGTTTTATGTAACCGAAGCGTGTGGTGTACTAGATTGACGACTGTTTAAATTATTCATTTTGATATGATAGGTGCATGACACCACATGAACTCGGTCCACTAGACGTACATAATGAATGTTTATTTATTTTGATATGACTGGTGCGTGACACCACACGAACCCGGTCCACTAGACGTACATTATGGAATGTTTATTTATTTTGATATGACAGGTGCGTGACACCACACGAACCCGGGCCACTAGACGTACATTATGGAATGTTTATTTATTTTGATATGACAGGTGCGTGACACCACACGAACCCGGGCCACTAGACGTACATTATGGAATGTTTATTTATTTTGATATGACAGGTGCGTGACACCACACGAACCCGGGCCACTAGACGTACATTATGGAATGTTTATTCCAACCATAGAACAACAAGGCACGGCGGAACAAAAGGAAAAATGGCTAGCACCAGCATACGAAGAAGAAATCAAAGGGACATATGCTCAAACAGAAATGGGGCATGGTGGGTAATTTTATGATTAATTTATTAAAAAAACCCGTGTCAACACAAAAGCAGGGGCTGCTCTGTATAAGGATACCATGATAGAAAAGAATGCTCGCGTATACTTTTTGATAGGCAAAACACATAAAAGAGTAAAAGGTTCAATACTAGTATATAGATATCGCCACATCATCTTGAAACTTGGTACCCATGTTCATTAGTTCATTATGATGTGCAATTCTAAAATTGTATGCCAAATTATGGTTTTGACCCCGATTTCACCCGGGGAAAAGATAGTGCAATCGGGGCATGGTGTCATAGTAAAACATATTCTTGATTTCCTTTTGTGTGGATTGGAGGGGGAAAGGAGTGCAACTCTACAAATCATTTGACCTCCGACTTTGTTTTAACCCTTATTTGTAAAGGATACAAAAAGCTAGGTTCACAATTTGTTTTCATTAAACATTTCGTTTAATTGAATAACCTTTATTCACAAGAAACGCCGAAGACTTAGAAAAAAAATAAACAAGCCATAAATGTCAAATGTTTTTCACAGCCCATGTGGTATCTAGTTAAGGTAACTGGTGCTCTCATGATTAATCTGTGAAAGGACATCATTATATATCGTTCAGTGAAATCAAATTTCGTGGGTGAACAGTTCGTATCCATACCACGACAAGATGAGGAAAGAGTACGAGAAAACGATTTATATAATAAACATAAAGCTCCCAAGTATTTATAAATCCTTGACTTTCAAATTTCGGGGTTGAGATTATAAGATAAAGGTATTTATCCAGAAAAAGTGCTTCGGACACACCTATTTATACAGTTATTTTCATTTACGAAAATTGTGGTTGATTTTCTTTTTTCAATTGTTTTACATTGTGTTATCCAGTGACCTATCATAGCTTACTATAAAGTATTGATTTTGGTTATCTGTAGTTGTTTTCATCCTTGTCCTCTGGTCTGTTGTTGATAGTCTCATTGACCATCATAACACATCCCTGTATGTTTATAGTAGTAATAACTGTATATTCGCAGGTACATTTCTCCGGGGATTGGAAACAACAGCAACATATGACCCAAAGACAAAAGAGTTCATACTGAATAGTCCAACACTAACATCTATAAAATATTGGCCAGCGGCTTGTAAGTACAATGAATATGACCCAAAGACGAAAGAGTTCATACTAAATAGTCCAACACTAACATCTATAAAATATTGGCCAGCCGCTTGTAAGTACAATGAATATGACCCAAAGACAAAAGAGTTCATACTGAATAATCCAACACTAACATCTATAAAATATTGGCCAGCGGCTTGTAAGCACAATGAATAAAAATCGTACTGTAAAGGTATACAAACTTATTACAGAAGCAAGGCTTATAGTTTGGTACGCCAGACCCGCGTTTTGTGTACATAAGACTCATAGTAGAATTTAAATGAAACCCGTTGGAAAGAGCATTAAAAACCGCAAATCCCGAATAGGTGTGACAAATACGACTAAGGATACCAGATTGTTGTATGCTGCTTTGAAACAAACGCAATGTTCAATATTTTATTCTAAATTGCTAACATTTTCTCAATATAATAAAGCAAATTAAATCTTTTATTTTAGTAGGAAAAACTACCAACCATTGTGTCGTAGTTGCTCAGTTGTTTACTCAAGGAACATGTCATGGTATTCATACTTTTATGCTGCAAACAAGGAGTTTAGAAGACCATTCTGTTCTACCAGGTAAGTTCTGGAACTGTCCTCACAGTGCAAATCCATCGCCTATGATTGTAGTTGCTCAGTTGTTTACCCAATGAACGTGTCATGGTATTCATACTTTTATGCTGCAAACAAGGAGTTAAGACGACCATTCTGTACTACCAGGTAGGTTCTTGAACTGTATTTAAATCCTCACAGTATAAATCCATCGCTTACAAGTTCTGGATTTGTTTTGCATTGAAAATTATTTTTAAGAACAGCCTATCCTCCAGGAATGCGTTTTCAAATTGCTTCCTGATGCAGCAATAATCGTTAAATGAACTCGCCACATTTTAAATTGATATTAAATAATGAGAGTTAGAATGATTTTCAATTAGCATATTTTGACTGAGTATAAATATATATATATATAAATTAAATGATGCTTCAAACATGAATATATATAAATTTATATATATATTTTAATTTAGATAATTACACATTGTCAAATGATATATTCAACACTGATTACATAAATTTCATATTTTTTCTCAGGAATAGAAGTTGGTGTCATCGGTAACAAATTTGGATTCGGAACAAATGACAACGGATATCTTAAACTAACAAACGTCAGGATCCCAAAAGATAACATGCTAATGAGATATTCAAAGGTACATGTATTGGCAGCGATTAACTATAAAAGTTAAATCCAGGCTCTATTTAGGAGGGTCTGGATGGGGAACCCTCATTTCTTTATTCTTTGATTTTTCAGACCATTTTACTCTATTCTTTATTATTTTGGTAGTTTTTTCTATTCTTTATATTGTAACGTGCAACAAGTGAGGTGTTTATATCTAAAATGACTAGTTCCTGTAAATACTTGGATCCAAGCTGTCCATGATAAAGCATTACGGCAATACTAATAATCTGTGCAATTAAATATTTATTATATGTACAACGAACTAACATATATATACATATATTTGGTCCTTGCAGATATAAAGCAACAACGAACAATTATATATAATGAATAAGTCTAATTTGAAAACAACGTTCAAACCTATGATTGCGTTGGTGAAAATCGCAATTTTTATACGCGTGCATGCAAAACAAATTTCTTGGTATCTCTACATTGTTAAATACAGCACAAACAACACTTTCCAAAAGACCAAAAAAGTGAAAAATAAAAATAAAATTGAGAATGGAAATGGGGAATGTGTCAAAGAGACAACAACCCGAACATAGAGCAGACAACAGCCGAAGGCCACCAATGGGTCTTCAATGCAGCGAGAAACTCCCGCACCCGGAGGCGTCCTTCAGCTGGCCCCTAAACAAATATGTATACTAGTTCAGTGATAATGGACGCCATACTAAACTCCAAATTATACACAAGAAACTAAAATTAAAAATGATACAAGACTAACAAAGGCTAGAGGCTCCTGACTTGGGACAGGCGCAAAATGCGGCGGGGTTAAACATGTTTTTTGAGATCTCAACCCTCCCCCTATACCTCTAGCCAATGTAGAAAAAACAAACGTACAACAGTACGCACAGTAAAACTCAGTTTAAGAGAAGTCCGAGTCCGATGTCAGAATAGGAAACAAAAGAAAATAAACAAAATGACAATAATACATAAATAACAACAGACTACTAGCAGTTACTGACATGCCAGCTCCAGACCTCAATTAAACTGATTGAAAGATTATGTCTTCATCATATGAATATCAGGCACCATCCCTCCTGTCAGGGGTTTAGTATTATTCCATCATAAAATATATGAGAAGAACATAACCCGTGTCATGCCAACAACTGATAACCAATAAATATGTTTAATTCCGATGCAAAGACTATATAAGTGAATCAATATTAAAGCCAAAATAAGCAATCTTTAATGACCTGACAACAGTATCGTAACTATATCCCTTCTTAATAAGTCTGTTTAAAGGTTTTGTATATTTAAAGAAAAACGCATTTGACTAACAGGTCGAACAACGGATGTTCTTAAACCCTGCTGACTGCCATTGGCGTTGCCAGATAAACGGATCACAAGATGTAACAAAATGGATCTTTATTTAATTTATTAATTTAATACCAAACAGAAAACAATAAACTTACGGAAAAGATGGTATACCGCAAACATGAGGTGCAAAAATTTGTACACCATATCCGGATTTCGACAATTAATGTCTCTTCAGTGATGTTAGGAATCGAAGCGGTATTTGGAAGGTCATATAATTTACCTCAATTTAGGATATACTCTTGAATTTTAAAGAGTCGAAATAGGATGAACGGATCATATAAACCCGAAGGCAAATATAATACAAGCCCAAACGAAAAAATATAAATAAGTCTAAATTGAAAACAACGTTCAAACCTATATGAATATATATATACATGAATATTTATCCTCCTGTACCATCCGAGGACAAGAGGAAACGAGTATGACGCTTTAAACGTAGGCCACAAGAGACTGATTCACCCTTCCAACATTGTGGTCAATCTTTCCAAATACCAGTTAACGGAAGCTGAAACATCTCTTCTCTCGAGAGGCTTAACTTTCTGTTCTCTACCTGCCCCAGTCAATGAAACCAAATTGTCGGAAGACCTTGACAATTTTGCAAGAAGTCTACGCATTAGGGAATATTTCGCGTCGAAGGAAAATAACAACAGGAGCTCGGATAGTGACTCAGAAATTTCAGAAGACGAGAACAACTACAAATTTATAAAAAAAAGTACTTGAATCCCTTAACCGAGCAAAAATGCCAACTTGGAATCATTTATAGACAATTTTAAGTCGGACATTATCTGAAATACTAGAGAAAGCAGTAAACCTTTTGACAATCTTTATACCAATGAAGAACGAAGTGCACTGAAAAACTTACGATCTAACAACAATATCGTCATTAAACCTGCAGACAAAGGCAGTGCAGTAGTTGTCATGGATAAATCTGCCTATATTCAAGAGGATGAACGACAACTTGGCGATGCAAGGTTCTACCAAAAACTAGACTCTGATCCTACAACATCTTTTAGCAGAGAAATAACTGATAGTTTGGTAGAAATGCACGACGATGGTTTCATCGATGAAAAAACTCTTGAATATTTGAAATCAGAAAATCCAAAACTGGGCAGATTTTATTCCTTTACTTAAAATTTATAAGGCCAATAACCCAGGAAGACCTATTGTATCAGCGAACGGTCATCCGACGGAAAAAATCTTGGAATTCGTTGACTTCCATCTTCGTCAACATGTTGAAGACTTACCATCTCACATCAAAGACACAATCGATTATCTTAGAAGAATGCAGGCCTTAAATCCACTTCCCTCCGACACGACACTTGTCTCTATGGACGCCACCTCCCTCTACACGAATATTCCACATGCAGATGGCATTGAAGCATGTACAGAAGTTAGGAATTCCCGACCAGTAAAATATTCACCTACTGAATGCCTGGTCAAAATGCTCACGCTGGTACTAAAGAACAACAACTTCACCTTTAATGGAGATCATTATCTGCAAGTTAATGGAACTGCTATGGGTACTAAAATGACTCCATCATATGGCAACATATTTATATGGAAATTAGAAAAACAACTCCTTGAATCTTCAATCGAAAAACCGCTTTCCTGGTTTAGATTTATATATGATGTGGATATGAAATGGAATAAAAGTGACGAGGATTTAGATACATTCATCACTCATGCCAACAACATACATCAAAGTATCAAATTTACTCATGAGAAATCTAAATCCAAAATTACATTCCTCGATACTTCCAGCTCCCTCAGAGATGGCATTATATCCACATACCTATATTCGAAGCCTACTGATACTCACCAATGCCTGTCCCCTAAGAGTTGCCATCCTGCTCATTGTACTAAAAGCATCAGTACAGTCAGGCACTCAGAGTCAAGCAAATATGTTCCAACACAGAAACAACCAAATAACAACTACGTCAACTCGAAACCCGCTTGAAGAGAAGGGGCTACAAACACAGAACGATTCAAAAAAGTTTTCAGAAAGTGGAAACTATCCCAAGGAGTAAACTGTTAGAATACAAAGATAAAAAGAAAACAAAAGGACTCCATGTGTTCTTACCTACCACCCATCTCTCAAACACAGCTTCGGTGTCATTCGTGAGCATTGGAAAACAGTTGAAAAGAATTCAAAACTATCTAAGATTTTTCCCGAACCTCCCATGATAGCTTTTAGGCAACCCAATAGTCTGCGGAACCTTTTGGTGCGGGCTGAGGTGTCTGATCATAGAAGTACTTCTGGAGAATGTCGTTCGTATGATGAAAAACGCTGCAAATGCTGCCAACAGATGCATCACTCATCAACTTTTCACAGTAAGGCAACCGAAAATAATTATAAGATGTTTTGCAATGTTACCTGCAAAAGTATGAATGTTATCTACATTCTAGAATGTTCGGTTTGTGGCCTCCAATATGTTGGTGAGTCAAAGCAGCCTTTCCACAAACGCCTGAATGGCCATAGAAGTAATATCTCTAAGAAGCTATTTCTCCCAGTTTCTCAGCATTTCAGACAGTCGGGTCATAAACTTGATGACTTTAACCGCATGAAAATCCTAGTGATTGAACAGAACATTCACTGGACTGATGCCCAATAACAGGTTCGGGAGAGCTTTTGGATAAAGGAACTAAATGTACATCATCCAAACGACATCAATAAGAAATACCAACAGTTTTATTTTACACTCATTTTGGGGTATACATATAGACTGTAACGTATATTTGAGTATCGAGTTTTGTTGTAAATTATGAAGTTCAAGATTTGGGATTAAATTAATAGACCAAAACTTACCTGTATTACTGAGCTATTTTTACACATACAATTAGTATTGTAAAAAAACTATTGACACTGACGAAGGCTATTTGTTAAGCCGAAATATTTGTCAACACGATTTTATAACATCATCTTCGTATATTACCATCTTATATATAAGTACCGTTGTGCAAATCTTTAGATTTATATAATGTTTTCCTTATCTGCGCAGTATCGTCTATTCTAGACGATCCGGTACATATTAAATTTGCTGGTTGGTCCTTTTTATAGACTTCTATATATATATAAACAAGTCTAAATTGAAAACAACGTTCAAACCTATGATTGCGTTGGATAAAAACAGCAATTTTTATACGTGTGCATGCAAAACAAATTTCTTGGTAGAGGGGTCTAAATACAGCATAAACAACATTTTCCAAAAGACCAAAAAAGTGAAAAAGTATATTTTAACAAAACGCATTTGACTAGCATTTCGAACAACGGATGTTCTTAAACCCTGCTGACAGCAATTGGCGATTGCCAAAAAAAAAAGGATCACCAGATGTAACAAAATTGATCTTAACTATTAATTTAATACCAAACAGAAAACAATAAACTTGCGGAAAAGATGGAATACCGCAAACAAAAGGTTCAAAAATTAGTACACCATATCCGGATTTCGACAATTAATGTCTCTTCAGTGATGTTAGGAATCGAAACGGTATTTGGAAGGCCATATAGTTTACCTCAATTTAGAATAGACTCTTGAATTTTGAAGAGTCGAAATAGGATGAACGGATCATATAAACCCGAAGGCAAATATAATACAAGCACAACAAAAAAATATAAATAAGTCTAAATTGAAAACAACGTTCAAACCTATGATTGCGTTGGATAAAAACCGCAATTTTTATACGTCTGCATGCAAAACAAATTTCTTGGTAGAGGGGTCTAACTACAGCACGAACAACATTTTCCAATAGAACAAAAAAGTGAAAAAGTATATTTTAACAAAACGCATTTGACTAGCATTTCGAACAACGGATGTTCTTAAACCCTGCTGACTGCCATTGGCGATTGCCAAATAAACGGATCACCAGATGTAACAAAATTGATCTTAACTAATAATTTAATACCAAACAGATAATAATAAACTTGCGGAAAAGATGGTATACCGCAAACAAAAGGTTCAAAAATTAGTACACAATATCCGGATTTTGACAATTAATGTCTCTTCAGTGATGTTAGGAATCCAAACGGTATTTGGAAAGCCATTTAATTTATCTCAATTTAGGATAGACTCTTGAATATATATATACAAATAAAATGCAACCTTACTTAAAACGTTTAAACCCGCTGCATTTTTATGCGCTATGTCAGGAGCCTGTTGTTCAGTGGTTGTCGTTTGTTGATGTGGTTCATAGGTGTTTCTCGTTTCTCGTTTTTTTTTTATAGATTAGACCGTAGGTTTTCCTATTTGAATTGTTTTACACTAGTCATTTTTGGGCCCTTCATAGCTTTCTGTTCGGTGTAAGTCAAGGCTCCGTGTTGAAGGCCGTATTTTGACCTATAGTTGTTAACTTTTTATACATTGTGACTTGGATGGAGAGTTGTCTCGTAGGCATTCATACCATATCTTCTTATTTATATTTACTGTCTGTTCCCCGAGTTGAACACCATACCATATAGTGGGGGCTGTTGTAGTTTGTCCGTCTAGTGGGACAGTCTATCAATATAAAGTCTGCTTATACCAATCCAACCTGTACGTTTACTGTGTACCCGGTACAAAGTGGCCTTTCAATATTATTCCTCTTACGCAACTAATATCTGATGATAACATAACTCTGTTGATTTACTTGTCTTCTTCCTTAATAGAACATTTACTGCACATTGACAGCTCCGGTTGGTATTTCTCATACGCTTAAATACCTCTGGTCCAATACATTTTTTCCTTGATAGAGGTGTTCCCAAAATGTTTTCCATACTAAACATAGAGAATCCCGTGAGAACACCCCTATAACCTTTGACGCGATCACTTACTTTTCCACCAAATGTCTGACTCAACACGACACGTTCTCAAGCGTGAAACATTTATCGTTATCAGGAGATTCTTCTGTGATATAACGATCAATTAAGTTTACAATATATATTAGCATAAATTTATTCTCTATTTGTGGCTTTTTTTTCTCTTTTTTTTCGTCCTTAATGCTGCACTTTTGCCCATAATTATCTATTCTGTAGAGCTCGTCTAGAAACCCATATAGGACAGCTAATACCACCGTAAGGTCATGAGGGATTGGTAACCGTAAACTTAATTTTATTGGTCGTTCAACTGTCTGTATCACTCTGCTCAGCTCTAAATAAAATGGCATATCATGGCTTTGTGACGTCAAATACGTTGACTCGGCATTAATAACTTTGAACCTGGACATATCACCGACGTCATAATGAATGAACCGCCGTTGATAAGTTGACCAGAACTTATCAGGTTATTCTCCGGTTTGCTGATGAAACAAAGAAAACACTTGTTTTAATCGTGCAAATTACGCAAATACAATCCGATAAATCGATTATCTGGTTGATTGCATATTGACATCGTAAAATATCAGCTGCTCGACACAATATGAAGCATTTGTGAACTCGTGCGCTGCGCTCATTCGACAAAAGGCTTTATATTATGACCCGCAGCTAATATTTTACAATATCAATATGCAGACAACCTGATCATCGGTACTTATTGACTTAGCAACAGTGGTATAGCATCCAATGAAACCAATGCGATGTTCGATATCAAACGATATAGACGAGTAGAATGGTGGTTGATAAGAGTGGATGCGTCACACAGCCAATGTTTAAGTATATACTTACTAGGATGTAACTTTGATGCTGTCAAATCTTGCACAATGTTCTTAAATTTTATGCAAGATATGTGGGAAGTTATGCCATTCAAAAAATCATATAGGCACTTGCATAATCAAAAGGCTAATGCCATTAAAATTAAGTTATAACTCAATAATATGAGTATAGCAATGTTTAAATATCCCAGCAATAGGTACTCAATACATCAACTGGAAAGTAACAAGAAAGGACCATTGTTATCACTGATATATGTTGCCAGAAAAGAGAAATTTATTGACACTAGTAATGTAAATGTGGTATGAGTGCCTATGAGACAATTATCCACCGTTAAAATCATACAGCCTTCGGCAGTGAGCACAACCCATTGAGATCCAGAGGTACGACAATGTGAAACCTGGGATAAGAAATTGTAAACAATAAAAAAAAGGAAAAAAAAACCTGCATGATTTATTCTAATAACACCAATTTGTTTTTTTTTTACTGAAATTAGATAATATTACAAAATTGATGAGGAAATTATTTTTGATATTGACAGGTTTTAGAAGATGGTACCTACATAAAACCCAAAAATAGTAAAGTATCATATGGTGTGATGGTATACGTCAGATCAATGATTGTCAAGCAGGCATTTAATGCTTTAGCAGAGGCATGCGTTATATCTATACGATATAGTGCCGTTCGTCGTCAGTCTGAAACAGTCCCAGGGTATGTAACTATCTGTTTTAAACGTTACCAGAATGGTGCTTAAACAATAGATGAAATCAGAAACGGTTTTGGCATTCTTGTTCAAACGTCAATGCAAAACACGTTTTCTGTGTAGGTTATTTATTATGCTGTGCTTAGGTAAACATCTTAATTGAGAAACAATGTTTATACTCTTAACATGTTAGAATACAAAATATTCTTTTTTAGTATTCAAATTTACTGGATGTGACTTTTGTATATAGAAATAGGAATATATGTCGTAGAGTATGAAGCACTTCACCACCTCAACTTAAAGAATATATATATAAAAACCAACCAATTAGCAAATGTGTGCATTGTTGGATTAAACAAGAATCAACTACAACGACATATAATGTAAACATTTTGTTTTTGTTTTCAGTGGTATTGAACCTCAGATATTAGACTACCAGACACAACAGTATCGGTTATTCCCTTTATTAGCCACAGCTTACGCTTTGTACTTTGCTGGAAATTACATGTCTACTGCATACTCAGAAGGTAGTCAGAAAATAGAAAAAGGACAACTGGAGGAATTGCCACAAGTAAACAAATTATATAGTGTCTGGATAATACTGAGGGGGAAGGTGGAGGGGGCAAAAGAAATATTGGGTAATAGATTTGTGTAATAATGACAGATAAGAAACTGAATACTTAACAACTAACATGAACAACTAGTTCAAACATTGCTGATTTGTAAGACAAAAAATGGAAAGACGATACAAAAGGGACAATCAAAAGTATTAAATCAATGAAAAGAGACAAAACAGTGACAGAAAGAAAGAAAAAAAACAAACAAACAAGAAACAATTGGAAAAAAAACCACAATTAAACAGCTAACTGAAGATTGAGCTACACCATGAAAACTGATGGTGAACCAAGGTGCTTTAGAAGGGAAACCGCTCCACTAGTTGTACCAGTATCATTACAGATGCTGATTTTTTTGCCCGCCGGCATTATGAAGCTACATATATGGTTAATGCATTTACTTTTACAAAACCCACTCCTGATGTTGTCTCACCAGACCACCCTACCTTTTTCAAAATCCTGGATTAAGACATGCATTATTATTATCATTACACTTTATATTTTAGCTTCATGCATTGTCAGCAGGATTAAAAGCATTCACTTCCTATGCTGCATCTTCTGGTGTAGAGGTGTGCCGAATATGTTGTGGTGGCCATGGATACTCGCATGCAAGTGGACTTCCAAAAATATATGTTAGTGTAGTACCAGCATGTACATATGAAGGTGAAAACACAGTTATGATGTTGCAAGTTGCAAGGTAAGTCTGTAAAATGTGTTATATACAAGATTTGGTGATTAATTCAGTACACAGGACACATGCCTAATCAATTTAATTCCTGTTTTGATTAGTAATGAAAAATTATGGTCATTTATATTTCATGGAACGATATAAAACATGTAAGTTGAGCTGTAAGATTCAACAAGTAATAAATTTTAAATCCTTTTGACATTGTCAAAACGAAAAAAATCAATGAAACAATACAGGGTCGAAATAAAAAGCAATTTAGATGTATTTGGAAACATTGCACAATGTGACCAAACATTAACTATCGTTGATTGACTGGGTCCACACTTCGGTTAGCACTTTTGACTATAATCAAAGCAACTGACTTTGACATTGAGATAAAAAAAATAATTCATGGTGTTATTTTAACAAATCTGATATCTAGACACAGAAAATATTTTAAACACTTCATTTGGTCATCTGACAGTATGTCTGTTAAAGCTAAAACATGTTCAAAATCGTTCAACAGAATAACCTGAATGATGTGAACCGTTAGTATAAGTTTAAGAAAAGGAGATAATTTTTAAAAGAAACAAAAACATTTCAGAATGACAACTCATCTTCTTATAAAGGATAGAAAAGTTCTAGAATGACAACTCATCTTCTTATAAAGGATAGAAGAGTTCTAGAATGACAACTTATCTTCTTATAAAGGATAGAAAAATTCTAGAATGACAACTTATCTTCTTATAAAGGATAGAAGAGTTCTAGAATGACAACTTATCTTCTTATAAAGGATAGAAGAATTCTAGAATGACAACTTATCTTCTTATAAAGGATAGAAGAATTCTAGAATGACAACTTATCTTCTTATCAAGGATAGAAGAATTCTAGAATGACAACTCATCTTCTTATAAAGGATAGAAGAATTCTAGAATGACAACTTATCTTCTTATAAAGGATAGAAGAGTTCTAGAATGACAACTTATCTTCTTATAAAGGATAGAAGAATTCTAGAATGACAACTTATCTTCTTATAAAGGATGGAAGAATTCTAGAATGACAACTTATCTTCTTATAAAGGATAGAAGAATTCTAGAATGACAACTTATCTTCTTATAAAGGATAGAAGAATTCTAGAATGACAACTTATCTTCTTTATAGCAGATAAAAGCATAGCATAAAAATTGAAGATTGTCAAAATGTCTTCTTTAAATTGTTGCTCTTGATGCTCTGATAGTAAACATTGATATACTACAGGTATTTAATGAAGTGTTACAAAGATAAACAGCAGGGGTCACAACTTCCAGGATTTGTCAGTTACATTGCAGAGCTACTAGAGAAGAGATCCTGCATGGATAAAAATTTATCATTCAACTGTTTGGTCAAAGCTTATAAACATAGAGCTGCAAGGTAATGTTGCACATACACTACGAAAAGACGCGTAACAGCTCTACCACTTTTGCCACTTCTACCCTTCCGTGGGTGATGCCTTGAAAAATTATTAAGATGTTCCACTTTACATTTCATATTATAATCTTTGATACAGTACTTTGTTTTATCTAACCTGGAAATAAACTCATTATAGATACCAGGATTGAAATTTTGTATTTGCGCCAGACGCGAGTTTTGTTTACAAAAGACTCATCAGTCACGCTCGAATAAAAAAAAGTTAAAAAAGCCAAATAAAGTACGAAGTTAAAGAGCACTGAGGACCAAAAATTCCTAAAGGTTTTGCCAAATACAGCTAAGGTAATCTACTCCTGGGGTAGAAAAACCTTAGTATTTCAAAAATGTAAAGTTTTGTAAACAGTTAACCATATCATATGATAATTCATGTCAACACAGAAGTGCTGACTACTGGGCTGGTGATAGGATTTTAATTAATAGATTGATGATATTATTTGTTTTCAATGGCCATATCAGAACTGCTCCTTTATTGTGCACTCCAAAAAAAATGAAAGAAAGACACCTTATTAAAAATGAAAACAACACGCGTCCAAAGCATTTTTCTGTATTTACCTTCATTAGGAACCCTTAAAGCCGAATATTTGAAAGTCAAGGATGTACAAGTACCGAAACAGTTGAAGAGTTGTATTATCAAAAACTGCTTATGAAAATTTCTTTTTCATTAAAAGAATTAAGACTTAATTTGGAGGCTATGCATAATTCTGCAATAGATGTTGTTTAATAGTAGTGTAATCTTAGAAATTCAGTGGACTTGAATTACTTGGTATTATATCAAAATTCACTTATGTTTTTCAGGTTAATAGAAGCAGCAGCCAAACAGATGCAATCATTGATACAGTCTGGTAGCCCTGCACATGAAGCATGGAATAAGAGTTCCGTTCAGCTGTTATGGGCAGCTAATGTAAGTTTCCATTTCGTCAACAAAAAGGGTAAAAAGATATCAAGGGGGAATCCAAAACCCCACATCAAAAGAAGACCGGCATCACGTACTGCCAAATGAAAACAGGCAAACAACAGCTCATAAAATATCACACAGGAAACTAAACAGCACAATTGAGCAACACTTACCCACTAGAAATGGTGAATGAACTGGGGTAACCGGAAAGGTTATCTTTTGTCAAGGAGCAAAATTGACAACAGTTACAGTTAAGTCTGCCTCATATCTTGCGTTACATCTAGAAATTGACATTGAAATTCGATTGATATCAATCTTTACGACAACAGAGATGATTTCAGCATCCCAATTGTGAACTTTTCCTTTCCATGTAATAACATTCCAGCAGCACCTGCATACGGAGTATATATCTCCCAGTTTATACGATTTCCAGGGCTTGTATTTCCTATCATGATTTCCTTGATAGAGGGTTGCTGCTCACAAGGAAGCTATTAAACCAAGAGTTCCAAGTGGTGAAGTTGAAATCATCCCTTCATAAATTTTATGGACGCCATCACGCACTTGTTGACCGTTATGGAATATCTGTTTCACAGATGACGACGTATATGTTCCAACTGTCGTTACCACAATCCCGTCCTTTTCTCCCAGAATGTAATCAACCGAACTAGACTAATCACGGGGTTTATACTAACATGAGCAACACGACGGGTGCCACATGTGGAGCAGGATCTACTTGCCCTTACGGAGCACCTGAGATCACCCCCGGTTTTTTGGTTGGGATCGTATTGCTCAGTCGTTTTGTTTCTATGTTGTGTTTTGTGTACTATTGTTTGTCTTCTGGTTTTTTGGGTTTTTTTTGTCATGGTGTTGTCAGTTTATTTTCGACTTATATGAGTTTGAATGTCCCTTTGATATCATTCGCTCTTTCGCTTCTCTTTTTGAAACATTATCAATTGCAATTAATGTGTTAAAACGGTTATCAGAAATCTGATGAAAATATTAGACGGACATAAGTAAATTGAAAACAGAGTTGCCTTAAATCAGAGACATGTTAAATTTTCATGATCAGATGTACTAAATATTTACCTTTGGACTATCAGAAACCCATCAAAAACTGTTGGTTTCTTTTTGCACCTTTTGCCAAAGTAGATATGAAAATAAGTCATAGTTTGTGGAGAAGTTCGTGTTGCTCAGTCTTTAAACAAGTTTGCTATATTGTGTTTTGTAAACTTGTTTGTCCTTTTGTCATTTTTGTTTTTTTGTCGTGACATTGTCAGTTTTCATGACTATTGAGTTTTGAATATACCCTTGGCATTTTCCGCCTCTTTTTCATAAAGACCAAGAAACAGAATGGATAAAGCTAGCAATGAACAAATTAACTTGGCAACAAATTTTTGTTTTTTTGTTGTGACATTGTCAGTTTTCTTGACTATTGAGTTTTGAATATACCCTTGGCATTTTCCGCCTCTTTTTCATAAAGACCAAGAAACAGAATGGATAAAGCTAGCAATGAACAAATTAACTTGGCAAAAAATAAGAGGATATCAAGGAAATGCCCATATCATTTTGTAAAATAACTCACCAGGTTCAAAAGGAAAATGGCGAACAGACAAATAATAACCAATAAAGGACCAACTATATAAACTAAGGATTAAGCATGACCTGGCCCATTAAAACATGGGGTTAACTTTGGTACTCCAGGTGGAAAGATTACAGGAAACAGCAGCTTATTGATGTTCAAATCACGTAGATACAATTTGATGAAAATTACATAACTTATGTTAAAAACAAAAAGTAAGGAAATATCATGATCTCCATAACAGCGTAAGACCAGGTGTGTTGATGTGGTAAGTATCCTGCTCTTACTATGTGATTATTATTTCAGGCTCATTGTCATTTGTTTTGCGTTAAGAATTTTGTGGAAAATATTGAAAGCAGTAGTGGCGATAGCAGAACAAATGAGGTTTTGAAAGCAGTTTGTCAGTTATATAGCATTCATGGAATTTTAGAGAATTTGGGAGAATTTATACATGTAAGTTATTATTGGCACCTTTAATTAGTAATTACAAAAATTTCCAACTACGCTGAAGGACATTTTTGATTGATTTTAACTGATACACATGTAAGTCATTAAATTTCAATGTTTAGAATGAGTAAGATAAATGATAATGTTAACTTAAATATATAAAAAAATTTAAACCAAAAAAAAAAAAAAATTAAAAACCAATTGTTCAGAGAACAATTGAAGGTCTTTCCACCCATAAAGATCAATTTTGATATAGAACTAATAAAATTCAGTTTGATATATCATATCCAGCGTCAAATGATAGCTTATTGTACACTGATTCCAAAAATATATGGTTTCTAAACATTTTTTTCTAAATAAGGGAGATAAATTGTTACTTCCGGTTTGAAATATGTCACTTCTTCTTTTATTTGATAGTTTACTTGATACTGATTCCAAAAATATATTGTTCAATACACTTTACATCAAATAAGTACAAAACAAAGCTATTTCCGGTTTACACAAGGTGACTTCCGGTTGGCTTTTCAAGGTCATGTAAATTGCAACCTAATAAAAAAAGTCCCATGGTTTTATCGTGTTTAAATATGAAGTTAAAGCAAAGGTCAAAATCTAGAACATCAAATTTAACCTTGAGCTCAATTTCAAGGTCATACACCAAGGACCTTTAATCATATTACCCTAGGTCTTTATTATACTTGGTAAATGAGTTATACCACCATACATGTAATTTTAAATATAAAAAGGGAGAAAACTCTCTTTTACGGTCAACGTACCCTTTCAAACAAAATTCATGTGTTACGACATGTCGCAACTTACAATTTAGTAAAAATGTTTTGTCGATATCTTGTACGTTTTTTGGAAATAAGTGAAAATAAGCCAAAATCAAAATTTAGAACGTGACCTTGACCTTTGACCTTGAACTAATTTTCATTTTTTTGGACCAAGGACCTCAAATCAAAAGACCCTAGGTCTCTACCACTTATGGTTTACCAGTTAGAAATGCATATTACTTATATCACATGCATAAGGGGAAATAACTCTCATATGGAGTGTTCATATCGCTTCGGTCAAAATAGGACAAATCATGCAAAGGATATAACGAGCAATTTTATAAAAAAAAAATAATTCGCTTTCTTTTACACTTACGGAGGAGATGCAGTCACAAGAAACAGTGTTCAGGGAGATAACTCCTACAAAGAAAATTGTTCGGCTTAGAATTGGTAATAATAAAAAGCGCATAAATTGCTAACAGTACAAAACAAAGAAAATATGTAAGCTCCGCTGTTAAATCCTGTGTGACCTTCAACTTTGTATTAGGATTTGGGCTTTCAAATATTTTGACTTCGAGCATTACTGAAAAGACATAAATTGTAGCAATGCGCATCTGGTGCAATCGAATTGGTACAGTCAAATGTATTAAGTGCTGCTGCAAAAAAAAATAAATAAAATATTTCAATAGTTTAGTATGCAGAATCTCTAACTGTTCTATTGAAATTGTTAATCCAAATATATATGACATTGATTTACTGATTGATATGCGCCAAAAACAACCCACAAGAAACAAATGGCATTGACTAAAATTGACAAAAACTGGTGTCATTTGAATATCGCATATCGGCTGAATATTTCAAAAAAAGAGTTCATACAGAAATATTCAATTTGATTTAAATTTGCTCTGAAACCTTATTATTATTATTCATATTGCATTCTTGTTTACGGTTCTCAGATCAGTCAGTTTCTAACAGTCGTTTTATTGATAAAAATTCTTACTATTTAGATATAAGAAGATATGGTATGAGTGTCAATGAGACAACTCTCCATCCAAGCTACAATTTGTAAAAGTAAACCATTATAGGTAAAAGTATGGTCTTCAACACGGAGCCTTGGTTCACACCGAACAGCAAGCAGCTATAAAGGGCCCCAAAAATGACTAATGTAAAACCATTCAAACAGGAAAACCAACGGTCTAATCTATATAAAATAAACTGCTTCGCTAAGCGCAGCTGGATACGCCCGCAGAGGTCCAACCCGGAACAGTTGGGGCAAAAATGGACACAATATTCAAGCTTGATACAGGTCTGAATTTGGATTGTAATTAAATATTTGACATATTAAAGGTTTCTGAATAAATGTAGTCAAAGAACTTGAAATTGGTTCTATGAATTGAATTCATATTCAATTAAAGATTTCTTGCTGTTGTCCAATACACTGTGCTGTTGCACAATACTAAGTAAATCTGTTGTCAGACTATAAACAAATAAAGTTCTTCTCAATGTCATATTTGAAATTTATGAAAATCAATAGGGAGATTACATCAATAGCTATAAATAATTCACCAAAGTTTTATGAGAACTGATGAAAGCATTTTTTAGTTATTGTCAGAAAACTGGAAAATCCCCCTTTTTTTATGAATAAAACCCTGTAACTCGGAAACGTAAAATCTAAAATTCATAAAAATTGAAAGGGAGCTCATGTCAATAGATATAAACAATTCATCAAAATTTCTTGCAAGTTGGTGATAGCATTCTTGAGTTATTGTTGGAAAACTGGAAAATCCCCCCTTTTTTAATGAATAAAACCCCAAAACTCGGAAACGGTAAATCTGAAATTTATAAAAAACGAAAGGGAGCTCACGTCAATAAATATAAACAATTCAATAAAGTTTCATGCATATTGGTTAAAGCGTTTTTGAGTTAATGTCCGACATGTTGACGACGGACGGACGGACAGACGGACGGACAGACGGTCAACGGTATACCATAACACGACCCGTAAACGGGCGTATAAAAACGAGAAACACTTATAAACCAAACCAACAAACGACAACCACTGAACAGCAGGTTTCTGACTTAGGACAGGTGTAAACAAATGCAGCGGGTTTAAACGTTTTAATTGGTACACAAACCTTCACCCTTACCTGAAACAATAGTGTAACATCACAACATAGAAAGACACACTATAAAATATCAATTGAAATAGCTTAACGCAATCAAGAGACATAATAACACAAACAAGTGAACATACACTGAACGAATAAATTTGATCTATGACACAATATAAATACAAAATCAGTAAAATAAGGGGTGAGATGTTAAACTATATCAGAAAGACAACCATAACCTTGAACAACATGCCGCAAAATAAAAAAATGTACACAGGTAAATGAAAATAATTTTGTTGTAAGGTATACAGTAATGGAATACGGAAATATTTTTTACAATAAAATAATTTTATTGTTCATAGTACGAGAAGCTAAGAACAGAAGTGAAAATTTATAGTCGTACCAAACACTTATCAAAGCTGGTATATATCAAAAATAGAGAGAGACGAGAATTAAAGCTAAATAAGTAAATATTAAATAACAAAAAGCATTACAAATTGTATCAACAGCTCAAATTAATACAAAAGTACGATTTGAGAGTACTTGCAGTTACTGAAAGCTAGTTAAAATCCAAAAACAATTATTAATAAAAAATCATGCATCAGAGACTAAAATCAACTAACTATTGCCGTTTATAAAATGTGTAACTGCACTTAAACCTAACTACAAACTACTATTTGCAATACCGACCTTTGTTGTCTAAATCTTTGTTGTCGACAGTTACCATACCACATCTGCTTTTTTTATATACGCTCAATCTTAACAAGTTATGCCATCATATTTTGTTGGGAAATTAGGGAGAGAAAAGGGTGCATGTATGTGTAACTGCTTGTAGTATTTTGAGGTAAGATAAATAAGTATTCATGATTAACTGATGTGAGGTTCTTTACCTACCTCTTTGCTTTCATGAATTTTAACATATGATGTTACATTTTCAATAGGATGGATTTTTATCTGGACAGCAAGTAGATTATTTACAAAAGGCGATGTTCAAATTATTTGAAGTAATACGACCAAATGCAGTGGCACTTGTAGATGCCTTTGACATCCCAGACCAAGTACTTCAGAGTTGTTTAGGACGATATGATGGCCAAGTTTACCAAGCGTTATATGACTATGCAAGGATGGCTCCAATGAACCAAACAGAGGTAGGCCGAGTTCCGATGTTTAAATTGTATATGATAATGAAATACGTTAAAATAAAGTTTTAAATTTCAGAGAAATATATATACAAGATAGCATAACAGTACGAGTGTTTTGTGGTAACGAAACAAATCATCAAATATACAAAATGACACATAAATCTGTAAGTATGGATTTCTACATTAGAAAATGCCTGTACCAAGTCAGGAATATGACAGTTGTTATCCATTCGTTTGATGTGTTTGAGCTTTAGATTTTGCCATTTGATTAGAGACTTTCTGTTTTTAATTTTCCTCAGAGTCTCTTTTTTTGTTTTTTTCCTTTTTTTTAACAAGGCAGATTTGGAATGCCAATTTAAAAGAAAAATTTACGCTTTATTTTTTTATTTCAGATTCACAGTACTTATTATACACACCTTAGACCACTGATGAACCCGCAGGCATCAACTTATTCAAAACTATGATTATAACATTTGTTAAAGTGGATGCTAACAATTTTTGTTTTTTCTAGATTATTTGTTACTTGTATTCCATTACTTTATTAATCGTTTTGTTCCTACATGTAATCAATTAATCAATTCACGTAGTTCAAGAGATATTAAAAGAAATGATTTTATTGTTTGCATGATTTTTGATTAAAAAATCTGTGTTGAAATTTTCGTAATGTTCTTCTATTGATATTGTGTTTGATTTAAACGATTTTTTACAGTGAAAAGGCTCACATTGCAGAACGTTGATTTGTCTTTTCTACACCTGTATCTGTTACACATTTTACGCAACAGTAAGATAATTTTATTGAACAGTCACAAAATGCATCAGACGAAAAGTTTGCTATCATATTTGATTTGATTTAATTAATTGATCGTTCCAATAGCAACCACAATGACTATGCAATAAATGTTGGTATGGAAAACAAAGAAACAAAGCATCCAAAATTTAACAATAAAACAAAATGTACTTTCAGGGTATATGTATAGATGACGGATTAAGTATCTTTAGTAGAACAAAATTGAAAATCAAAGAATTGTTTAGAACATGTAATTGACAACACCCTTTACTTCGCATGAAGTGTCTAATATATATATAACATTTTTTACTCAATACACCACAAAAGGAGACATCCTTATGCTAACCGGCATTGAAAACATTGAAACTAATTTCAAAGTGACTATTTCATTTCTATATGTGAGTAGAAAAAGCTCGCACAGTCCTCCTGTTTTACAAAGGAGTGAATGTAAGCACAAGCAATACAAACTAACTTTATGCGATATGAGATATACTTAGAAACAAGTTTAAAGAAAGTGGTTACTAAAGAGCTTTAGTTTGGTCGGGTTGCTGTCTCATTTACATGTGTTAACTGACAATTTTGTGAAGGAAAATAGTCTGTGCTTCAAGACATCTATTTTGTGCATAAAGCTATAATCTTCAATATTTATTCTTACACCAAGTTATATATAGGTTACTTACTCTCTATAAATGAACTCAAATACATAGCAGTAAAAAAGACATATAATGTAATAACATTAACGGTATCAATTTTTCTACACAAAAAAATATAGAATGACACTCTTTAAGGCACATTTCAAAATCCCTATCATTAAACCCTTCATGAAGCTGTTCGAGAGTAGGTCAATTAGTATTTGAGACTATAAATCCAACGTTTAACTTGCATATCCAAAGGCTTTGTATAGCTTAGTATATAGTTTGGGTTTTGTGCATTGTTGAAGGCCCTACAGTGCTTTTTAATTGTTCAAATCTTTGTCCATTTGTTTTTGAGCGATAACTGCTACTCTGAAAACCATACCACGTCTCCTTATTTCATGTTAATATATAAATCAAAGAATGATAAAATATAGGTCAAAGTTACCTATTTTTGTGGGCTATACCTTTTCCCATGGATGCTTCCTTGCATTAAGTTATTTGTATATAATGGTATCTTAGAACTGAACATAAACTAAAAAGTCAATATAATTCAAAGAAACGTACTATGTAGGTTCAATTGACACAATTTTTGTTAAGGAAGCTCAATTTTTCTGGACAAAACCCTAATATTTTAAGTTCTGAACTCTTATTGAACAATACTTCAAGTTAATAAGGCATACAACTATAATCATACTGACCTGCGTTGTATGGGACACTGCTATACATACCAGAAGACGTATTTCTACACTAAGCTATATGATTTTCAGTCGCCTACTTGTTGAGATCTGAATTCGGACTTTCACCTTAATAATAATATACGTCAATCAAGTGTAAACTAGCTAAATGAGAGTCATCAGTAGTTTGCATATGTTCAAATCTCATGTATCCATCATAACATATTAATCAAGGTCAAAAAAGAATCTACGGTAATTCCAAACGGAGCGAGCCCGGGTAAGCGACTACTGCATTTGATGTATCTCCCGCCACGCATAACCACACTCAGTCAAAAAGTCATAATAGAAAATTGTTCACAATCGGTAAAAATGTAAGACTACGAAAACAGTAAGTTGAGACACAGTCACATTGTATCGGTCAACCAATTCGTGGTAGTGACCCTAAAACGCATGTAGTGTTTATTTCAGTTATTCTTCGCGGAGCAGTTTTTTTTTGTGCCATGAGCACGTCTCTGTAAATGAAGTCCGCATAGCGTAAACATGTACAAGCGTAACGCATCAATTGAGATATGTAAACGCCATTCGATTATGTAGAGGTTATGTTACTGGTGAAATGGGAAGTTGACAATGTGAAAGCTGAAATTCGTAAGAAGGATTTGTATGAATTAAGATAAGATAAGAGATAACACAATGTTTACTTTTTATAAGGTGCATAAGTCATGCAAAAGTCAACGGGCTGGCTAGGAAAATCACTGTTCAATTATGCATGTACATGACTAAATACTATTCAAGTGTATATGATCCATCTTAATTCCATCGAATTGATAAGTTTAACAAACCTTACCGTAACCTTTTTTTTGCTTTAAATATTCAAGCATTCTTTCATTATACTACGGACATTTGCCCAATGGAACTTGCTTTACATGAATTTAATATAAAGAGCAATAATTGTAATTTTCTAGATTTGGATATTTCAGTATCACACAAGAAAAATCATACCAAAATATACGACAAAAGAGACGATTTTTCGTTTGCATAATGTCGTGCTTTTCTCGGACTGTTGGATGTGTGATGGTTGATATTCTAATCTGTGAAAACATGATTTATTTCTTAGTTGTAATTGGCATTGACATGTAATCATATTTAGTGGCTCATGAAAAAAGTCTTGCAGATATAGTAAATATATATATATAAAGGCTGTGAGATACAGAGGAAGATGAATAAATCCTACAACGCTAGTTGGACGTCTTTAATGTTCAATTTTCGATATGGTCAAACAGAAATAGTAAACGCTAGTTGGGCGACTTAAATGTTCGATTTCGATATGGTCAAACAGAATAGTAAAAAATATTATATAAATGCGCACATAATAATAAACATGACTATAGTGGTCACTTGTAACGTGTAATAAACATATGCTATCATTACTATGCATTAATTTCAAGGATGTTATGAGACAGAGAGGCATAATCAAGTACAAAATGGAAAAGTTAGTAGAAGCAGGTCCACGTTAAAACATTCGGTGATGACTGAAAATAAAACGATTAAAAGCTACAAATAGCTTTGTCTAGTAAACTTCTCACCGACTACACGCATACCCGGATTATACGTGCAAACCGTGATGGTTGTCTCTAATGTGTAATAACTATAAACCCTTTCCAGAATAACTGAGTTCTCCTTTTTCTTTGGCGGAGCTAGCTTTGCACAATCTGCATTTTACTTTTTGCAATGGTGTTGTCAGCCTTTTTTTTCAGAGTTTAGAGGTCTCCTCTGTATTCTCACGCTTCTTTTCTGGTTCAGAACGATTTCAATGTAGAATTATTTGATTTGTGCTCTTCTTCACCAGTTCATTTGTTTTGGCATCGGCATTTGCTTTTAGTAGATACTATTTTTCTATATTGGTCTTATTAAAATGGTCATGAACCGGTCTTAATTTTCTAATCTGAAATTAAAAAAAGAAATAATAAGTATATTAGACAATTGTTGAGATCTGTAATAAATTTTATAGTCGTTTATTACATGACCGTTTGACCGATTGCATTCATAACAGCTAGTTAAAATGTCTGGATTTTTTATATTTTTTTTAACTATACAAACAATGTTCCTTCAGATGAGATTGCATTTTGATTCCAAGTAATCAATAACATAAAGGAAAATCAAGTTATCAATAATTGTGTTGAATCCTGTTCAAATAAAAATAAATATAAGGAGATAAAGTTTGATTGCTAAAGGGACAACTATTAACCAGAAAACAATAGACGTGGATGCAAGCAACAACCATAGGTCATCGTTTACGTACAACCTTCAACAATGAACAAAACCTATAACGTTCCACGGCATGACAAAATGTGAACGCGTTCAAACTGTTAGACCCTCAGGTGCTACTGAAGATTAAGCTATATCTGTTCCACAAGTGACAACCTCACTGGAACATGTCGAAATTGTTTATGTCGTTATCACTTGCACCTCGGTTATTCTCCCAAACATGTTTTAAATATCTTTTGTAATTAATTACTTTTGAAGAGATAAACGGAAAATCGGGATAAACCTAAACTCACTTCTTCCTATACAATATGGAAAGGGTTTTTGTTGATTGCTTTTAACTTGGTTTTTTTTGTAACAAAATGTGCATGTGACAATTACATGGACTATAGTTATTTCAATAGGTAAGGCGATCAAACATTATATGAACCAGAATGTCGGTAAAAGCCATATTCGACTCTTTCGATTGTTCACTCTCCTGCTCTTCCGTTTGTTTTTGTATTTATTTTAAAGTGTTTTCCTCTGTTTGTTTAACTTTTCCAACTTAACTTTTTACTTTTATTGGTCATCGGTCTGTTCTAAAAATTCCAAATTACCTGTCCGAGAAACTTGTTGTAAGGCATTCTCTTTTCTAGTTGAACTGCGTTACATTGTAATTTACACTTAGCATTCTGTAATGACAATATTTCCGTAGCAATCCCCTTATTCTCAAGAACTGTTAGTCCACTGATAATTCTCTCATTGTTATGAACACGAAATGGTACGATTTCCATAATTTGAATTATTTTTATAAATTTATGATATTGAGATAAGTTGAACAGACTTTAATCACAAATATGTTGAACGTATCTCTTACCTAGAATAATTACAATATTTTATAAGATGATGAATTATTATCATTAAAAAAAATGATCCAACCATCAATTCAATCCTAGCTATGTAAATAATTCATTGTAATTCAAACAATAGAATACATTTATACCATTTAAATGTCGATTAAAACAAATGAATCCAAATTAGCTTCGGCACTGACATGATTTATAACAACTATTTTAAAATTGATAATCTAAAAAATTATTACGAAACTAAGGTTCCAACTCCCTAAGGCAAAGTACATCGTAAATGCATTTGGCTGTTCTTTTTATATCCCATTTGGTCATATAGCTCCTAACGTCCCTGGATTTCAAATGTTTAGGTTTGAGCTTTCCTGATGAAGGTAAATACAGAAAAGCGCTTCGGACGTACGAAATTTATAAAGTTTTATTTTTATTCATTAAGCATTATAAACCGTTGTAAA